GTCTCCGTTAATGTTTCGTGTCTTTTCAGAGTCACCCAGAGAAGCAATCACTCGCAAACCGCCCACCACCTCCAGCCACTATAGTCCCACGCGCGGCTGATGGTCCAATTCCTCCAGGTTGGAATGGCCAGCCCAAACGACATGGCTCCAGTAGGTTCAACGTTCAAAATAATAAGGAACAGGAGTTAGTGAAATTACCTTCTATTAGAGGTAACGCACCACCGTATTACTTTTATTTGTTAATTTATATATTAGGAAATTTCTTAATGTATGTATGTATATATATGTTTGTACAAAATATATGTATAAAATAAGGTCCCGTACCACAAGAGTCGGGGATATTGGAAAATTGATATAATAAAAAAATAATAATATAGGTAATTAGTAATGTCACAGAGAAGAAAATTCCATCCTTTTTACCTCGAGGCCTGGCCCTCCACAACTTTACGCTTTTTGAGACACTCTGCGACCACCAGTAGCGGTATTTCCGAATCGATACGACTTAGAGGCCTTCAAAGAGCGTACCATTCACTCAAAGGTCCATGGGCGGTGGTAGTACTTTATCCAAAGTGATCCGCCGGCTTGTTTGCCGACCGTCCCATAAAAAAGTTAAGTGAAAATAATACAAGGACAATACGTATACTGAATGTAGTGAGAATGAGATTTAGAAGGCGTGAAATTTAATATTTAATGAGCTACTCATAACTTCGTTCGCATGTTTTTATTATGCACTCCATGGAGTCCGCATTAGGGTTAGAATTCCGAGTTGAAACGTCGAATACGTGAAAAGTGAACTTTACATACGGGAGTTCCATAAGTCTGGGCTGTACTGCTGTGCTTCCAGGTCTTCCGAATATGTTCAGACGTGTTGGCGTAAATGAGAAACACGGATTTACATTAAAAAATTTACAGACTGATTTTTAATCAATTAATATTATTTATTATTTAAATAAAAAATTGTTGAAGTTTTGTTTAAACACAACAAAGCAAGTTTAATAAAAAAATTTAAAATTATGTGGCTGTTCATCCAAGAAAGGCTGAAGATTTAGATATGTAAATGCCGAATTTTTGCCTCAATTATTTTATCGTTAAGATAATCTATTCCTATCTACATACGTACGATAAAATTATACTTATAGTTGTATCTTCACATAAAGTATAAACCATTAGAAAACAAATATTTATTAAACACATTATCACGGTTTACATCCTCGAACACATAGATTAACAATAATACGTTATAATTTTAAAATATACATTTGAAATACTATTATCTTTATATATATAATTCTTCTGTGAGTGTGTATGTCACTGAACTTCTCTCAAACGACTGGACCGATTTTGATGAAATTTTTTGTGTGTGTTCAAGGGGATCTGGGAATGGTTTAGATTCACGGTACTTTCATACTTTGCTTAATATCCTAATCGCTTTAAATATCATGCAGGACAACGTCTGTGGGGTCCACTAGTAATATAATAATAAATTAATATCATAATAATACATATATTAGTGATAATAGTGTTCTAATTGAAAATATTTGACCTTGAGCGTGATTCATTTTTGTAGTAGTTGGGTTACATCTCGACTATATCTTATCTTAAAATGTACACTTATGAACGTCATATATATATATATGAAATGGTTCTAATTTTACATTAACAGTTTTCAAGGGCGTAGAACGGAAGAGAAGATCTGGCAATAAACTCTCCGCCACTCTTTTTAATCGCCAAGTTTTTTGTTTTACACAACGTTTATAAGGAGCTGCAACCATTACACCATGTTCCACATGACATCTTACGTAATAAATAATAATAAAATAATTTAAACATAAAATTAAATAAACTTGAATCAGACATTGCGTTTGTACCTTCTATTCAACTGAAAACAAGCCACAAGTAGGTACAAGGTACTGCAGAACTTCCAATAGTCTAGCATCGTTTTGTAAAGTGGCATGCGTTCCGGCTTTTCGCTCGGCATTCTACTCTTTGTGTCGACTTCCGTTTCCTCTCCCTTAGAGCGCTTTCAATGTACATTAACTTTAACTCGTCTATATAACCTTAACCCAGACGTAGCATGTTTTAATCCAGCAAAATTTGGACGGTTATATTATTGCGTAACTACGTCTTATTATGAAGCGTGTACGAATGGGCTCACACGGGCGAAATCCTATTGTAAGTAGCTACTATATGCTTCATGTTTCTTCTATCTTCGACTACTATTAGAGATACGGTTCCAATGGTAGGTACTAAATAATAATTATCACTGTGCCTTTAAGTTAACCAGTACCTATTATCAGTCTTGAATCTTTATCTTCACATTCAATTCTATTTTTCGTTACATTAATGAAAATGAACTATCTTGCGTTATCCTCAACATTCATTTACGGTTTCGTCAGGATAAAAATTCCGTCTCATATTAAGATTCTTCTCTGATTCTTGATTAAGAACAACCTATATAATTTTAAATATTTTTTTTTTGTAAAAAAAACATGTTGCGCGTTATCAAATAAAAATATTTTATGTATAGATTTTATTTACTATTTTGAGCATTGTTGCCCGACTTTCATCCCTGAGATCGTAGGTTCGACCTCGGATGGACAAATGGACTTTTTGTCTATGTACGCATTTAACACTTGTTCGTTCGGTGAAGAAAAACATCGTGAGGAAACCGCCATGCCTTAGACCTAGTAAGTCGACGGCGTGCGTTAGGCATGGAAGGCTGATCACCTGACTTGCCTATTACAAAAAACGAATAATCACTAAACAGATACATAAATCTGAGACCCAAACTTAAACGGTTGTAGCGCCACTTTTCTACTATTTTGTTAACTCGATAAGTTTTGAGTTTCGAATTACCCCTCTCCGTCCGTTGTTTATAACAAATTGGTCGCACTATAAAAATGCCCAGACTTACTAATATAAATAATTAATGAATATTATTTAATTATTTTCTTCAAATATATATTATTATATGTATTATAATAACATATTAGTATTGTTACGAGTTGTAACTAGTTTATTAGAATATTTATAAATCGTGTACATTTAAATTCGATCTTCATCATAGATACTATTAAGTTTGCGTAATATGAACGGTTGTGAATATACAAACGGAACTATTAATTAAGCAATATTAATAATAAATCATTTCTTTGCAAGAAAGTGGTACATTTATAAAATCATCGATCAATTATAAAAATCCGCACAATCAGCCGCACGAAAATAGGCATGCAAATATCACATTAATTTTCATTAAGTCATATAATAAGAACATCTGTCATAATAATAAATCAAGCTATTTATAATTAATTGTTGTCCAACTTATGGGCCAAATATTCACCCACGTTATTGACTTTAAAAACTTTATCACCTTCCCCTTGAAAGCATTACACGGCAGTGATCTATAACTTCTACGAAGGTGATTAAATATTTTTATAGCCATTGCGTAACAATTTTTTGAATATAAGATAATTGTTCGTAATTATTGGTAGTAATTCGTTATATCTTATGAGAACTAAGTGCCTTAATTTAATCATCAACAGGTCGCTAATTCTGCCCCTTATCTCAATTATGCGTTGACCTTTCGAATCTATTTCACTCAACCATCAAAGCGTCTTCGGCACAAAGCTTGTAATTTAACTTAATGCTTTCTGTTATGGATCCCATTTCAAGTAATTTATAATGAAACTAGCTAACCCGGCAAACTTCGTTTTGCTATGTATATTATTTCTAGGAAACATTTTTTTTGTTCAATAAAAATAACTATGTAAATATACTATAATGAAAAATAGGGGTTGATCGTAGAAGGGTGACAGTTAAGGGTTGTACCTATATGTGTATTGTATTGTATGCTGGATCATAAAAAAATAAAAACAAAAAGTTTTGACAAAAAAATAAATAAAAAATTTAGGGGTGGGATCACCCTTAACATTTAGGGGGATGAAAAATAGATGTTGTCCGATTCTCAGACTTACTGAATATGCATAAAAATTTCATAATAATCGGTCGAGCCGTTTCGGAGGAGTATGGGAAACGAACATTGTGACACGAGAATTTTATATATATTATATAGTTTTTTAAAAGATGCGATGTGCTTTTCTTGAAACGCACAACATATAACAATTACCAACGTTTCTATCCAGCACAATAACATCTTATGAGATACTTACTAATAAATTAAGAAAATGTCCGACTTTTATTGTTTCTTATCCAAATTTTAGACTTCCAATTTCTGGCGCTCTTCCAAATGAATACAATTATTAAAATGGAGTACGCACCCTTTCACCTGCGATTTTTTTTGTACACGTGTCGTGACTCAACAAATTAAAGTGCAAATCGATCGGTCGCTTGACAAGGGGGTCACGAAAGTTCTGATAGTACTACATCTTCATATTTTTACCGCATAGCTTGTGTATACAAATAACCTTTTTTGCATAGCATTATAATTATTTACAAAAATTTTAATTTTAATAAAATCCTTTAACGTAACAACAGCTATCCGCAACTTCTAAAAATAGCCTCAATATCAAAACATATTGGATCGATCAATGTTAGCTGACAATATGGATACAACCTTTCGGGATTGACGTACGATATTTACGTAGATTTATTAGGTCATGAAAATGGAACGGATACTTCGCGTCCTGTGTTACAATATCAATATTTTGCAATCGATTTGATTTCCGGAATTCTTTCGCTATTAAAGCCGCTACTCGTTATATGCAAGTTGCTTCCCTAAGTTTTATAGTGAAACATATTTTTATTCTGCCTTTGAAGTTGAATTAGGCATGTTTAATATGAATGATAAGTAGTTGGTACCGAACCCTAGCACGTATAGATTGCGTGAAGGCAGCAAGGGAGCCGGGGCGGGGTGCGCGCGCAGTGGCGTGGCGGGCGGGCGGCCGTCGGACGTTTGTAGATTCAGTCCGGCCGCCCCCGCAGCTTGTTCCGCCCGGCGCCGCCGGCTCCCGCTCGGATGCCGCTGCCGGCCGCCGCTTGCGATGGTCCACACCAGACCGGCTGTTCGCGCGCCCTCCCGCGCTATGTTCGCCGCCGCTGATAGCAAACCGCGACGTGCAGTCTCGCCACTCGGTATACCCAAGTCCCCCTCGTTCCACTCTGGATTGGATCTGGTCGCGAGCCAGACGACTAAGCGATCCGAGAGCGTATCTGACGTAGCCCGGGCGTTTCGAATTGCGCTTTTCGGTATGGAGGCTCAGGGGCAGCAGCCCAAGGCGCCGTCGCCGCCGGACGCGCGCTCACCGCCGGACGCGCGCTCGCCGCCGCCGCCGCTACCTGTTACGTCCACTCCCAACGTTGCCACTACTACCACAACGACCGTGTCACCCGAGCGTCCGATCACTAGTAATGGTGAGAGGGAGAATTTAATGGTGCAACTGGCACTGCTGAAAGGTTCGTTCACATTGGAGAATATAGAAACCGGCTGAAATTATTCTTAGAACGTTGTGTTTATTTTAATGCGATTTGAGTATTTTTATATTAGACGTAATAGACATCACAGTGGCTACGCCTTAAAGCAATTTTACTTAAGGTGTGTCTCTAAAAGAGCATCCGTAAACTCGTTCGCTGGTAATGTCGTCACAAGCAGGCAAATGGCGAAAAGGCCGCAGAATTATATCGACCCATTGTCGACTGATGACCGCTGTGTCTATACATGTATAATACCATGGAAACTAATGAATGTTAAACATACATAAACTACAATAAACGACCTTGGTTAACAGTTATACTATGTATTGTGTAATATCGGTAAAGTCCTCGTGTTTTACATTTTTTAAATACCAGGCGATATACTATTTTGTTTACATTTCATTACAGTATATGCCGCAGGAAACTTATATTTATTGATTTGAAGATTTTGTTTCGTGTATTTACGAAGATAAGATCAAGATAAATATGAATATTTTTGCGTATCATATTGATAGTTTATTAATCAAAATACTGGAGCGTAAAATGCTGTTACGGCAAACGTATCCCGACATATCTTTCAACGACTCCATTCCCTAGTTCCCTTAGGATTGTTCAAGTTCAAGTTGTCGTGCAATTTGTGTTTATAAATTTGTATCCAAACATATGAATGCTCGTTTTTAGGCTTTAGTCGATGAGAATAAGTACTTTTTCGTTATAATAACTTTATTGTTAGTGATATATTATATGTTACTAGCTGACCCGGCAAACGTTGTTTTGCCATGTATATTTTTTCTAGGAAACATTTTTTTAGTTCATTAAAAATAACTATAATAAAAAATAGGGGTTGGTCGTAGACGGGTGAAAATAGGGGTTGTATGTATTTTTGTATCATAAATAAAAATTGTCAACAAAATAAAAAATAAATTTTTGGGGTGGACGTCCCTTATCACATAGGGGTTTGAAAGATAGTAGCCGATTTATAAAAATCTGTCAAGCCGTTTCGGAGGAGTATGGGACCGAACATTGTGACACGAGAATTATATATTAGAAGATTATTCTTAACCTATGACATAGTTTTGTCAAAATCCAATACGTTTTTGACATACAGGAGTTATACAGAGCCCGTGACTCGGTAGATAACACCTTAGTTGATGTGTTCAACTCAACAATAACTGTTTCGGCTTCAAAACATAAACATCGTGTTTTCCCCGCGACATTTTAATGGTGTATTTAGATCTATTATTGTTTAGTGGTGTTTTACGCCCAATATTTCAGTACAGTTTTCTTTAGTTTTTACAAATCGAAATATATGCCTAAATCTCATTACGATTTCTCAATCTACAGATGCCCCAGCAGCAGAGCGTGAACAGTTGTTTGTGCAGAAGATTCGGCAATGCTGTCTATTGTTCGACTTTGCAGACGAGCCTCTGTCGGACCTCAAATGGAAGGAGGTCAAGCGGGGTGCGCTGCTGGAAATGGTGGAGTACATCACCTCACAGCGTGACGTCATCACAGAGGCTATATACCCAGAGGCTGTTAATATGGTAGGTGACTTGTAAAATTACTGTAGGTACCTGTTTAACTATCCCGATACAAACTCGCAAATCACATAGAAATATTAATAGCCAAATTGAATTTCGAATCTACAGAGGCCTTACTGCGTATCTTGGTATGACTTTGAGGTTTCGAAAACTAACACAGATACAGTGCAAGATCATAACAACTTTCAGCTACACTCTCAAATACATGCGCATACACACCCATTCACACACTCACTCATTCACTCATTCTTAATTTGTAACACTAAATTTATAAATTTTTTTCAAACATGTACCATGTACCACGGAATAATTGTTTTCTAGTTACCCACAACACAGGGCGTCCCTAGTGTGGGGACTAGGAGGACTTCTCTCGGATTCTTCTTCATCTGCATAGGTCTCAAGACATGCCATTTCTTAAACTGTTTTTATTAGCGTATCAGCTTTCGAATCATGATCAGTGCGTCACTATTAAGCATCTTTAGTCTTTAAATTTCTGCACCAACGTGCTAAAAAGACCCGGGTAATTTGCTGTTTAAATGTAATAAATCCAAATCTCTTTTGAATAGAAAGATTGTAACGCTGTGAAATTTAAACGACTAGCTATCTAGCAAAATTCACAACATAGCATTAGCACACTGATAAATGATAATTGTCACGTCTAACTTGTTTTGTCACGATTAAAGGTTATTTTTACGCAAATGACGTTAGTCTATGTATAACATTACTTACTATGTACACTTTTTCTTTTTCATGTATCCTTTATTGGTTTAGTTGGTTTTTTGTTACTGTTTAGTTTTTAAGCTATTGCATAGATTTTATCGCGGGCTTTGAGCGCGGCGACCGAATCAAGAAATTCCGTAACGAAAAAAACCTTACACACGATGACGTAATATAGGTGAGAAAAATAAATACTGCATAAATAAATAATTATAACTGCATAAGTTGATAAAAAATGCTATCTACCGCGGCAGTCCCCGAGTGCCGCACGTTTTTTCTTAATAACTATATGTAATATGTATTTTTGCACTTCTTGTCTATCTTATCTAATTTAATAAAAAAAAATTTCTCACTGTGGTTGCCTGGAAGAGATCGCTCGAAAGCGATAAGGCCGCCAGTTGCCCTCCTTTACATTTAACTATGTTAATTTTTTATATTGTAATGCAACGAAGTGTAAATATATAATAAACATTAATTGATGGAATTGTCTGTCAAGGCCTTTCTGTAGTAATCCCTAGAGAGACAAAACTGACTAGGTCAATACGAATGTCAGTATTATTCCTTCCTCAGTTTACAGTCTTTGTATATACAGTCGTACCTCGATATACGAGTTCCCTAATTTACGAGTACACACTACTCGAATATTACCTCAGACGAGACCTTAGTCTGTTTGCTTTTAAGTTTTATCCCCTCGTTTACGAAGCAATTTTGATAAGTTGGGTTCGCGTTTTTTGCATGTGTATTGTGTACATTAGCAAAACATTAGACAAAGGCATAACATTTATTACTTACACAAAGAAACACACAAAATAATAATTGGAAAGAAAAAAATAGAATCAGGTACATTTTAAGTGTGTTGTGGTTGTAACTGGCCCTGGCTCAGTGTTATGATGTGGAGCAGACGTGTTCCACAGCGCCATTCTACCAGAGACCACACCAGTCAACAGAGTGTTAGATTTATTTTTATAAATATGTCTATTGAATTAAAGAGTGAAATCATTTTCTTATTCATAAACACTTCACAAAAACAACTGAGTTGGTGTTTTGGGTGCTGGAACGGATTAAGGGTATTTCAATTAATTTTAATGGGGAAAATTACTTTGAGATACGAGCAAGGTTACGGAACAAATTAAACTCGTATGTCGAGGTACCACTGTATTGCAATTTCTTGTTTGGGTATAAATGCCACGATGAGTTGAATTGTATGTTTTTTTTATATAGTACTAGTTGACCCGGCAAACGTTGTTTTGCCATGTATATTATTTCTAGGATACATTTTTTTTAGTTCTATACAAATAACTATCTACTATAATAAAAAATAGGAGTTGATCGTAGAGGGGTGAGAATTAAGGTTGTATGTGTTTTTGTATGCTGTATAATAAAAAAATAAAAACAAAAAAATGTTGTCTAAAAAATAAAATTATTATACATGAAAAAAAATTAAAGGGTGGGTGACCCTTAAAATTTAGTGGGATGAAAAATAGATGTTGTGCGATTCGCAGACCTAAATATACACACAAAATTTTACGAAAATCGGTCAAGCCATTTCGGAGGAGTTTAATTGCAAACACCGTGTCTATATTAGATAGATGACTTAATTAATCTGACGTTTCTGAATCGTAGAATGTATTTTCCCGTATTTTCAAATTAAAAGGAACGCCATAGTTTTCTATAACATTGAATTATGAAATTTTTTAACAAACACTATTATTCCAAACCGGCTTAAAAATCCGAAGGAGCATAGCTCCATTGTCCGTGGACCGATCGGCATGTTCGAGATGTCAGAGTACCAGGGTGTCAGGTACCCATATTAGGGTATAATGTATAATCAATGACTACGAACTTCAACCTATCTATATAAGGACCGTCTTAAAAAGTCAATGAAATCCATTATGGACACTGACTTAAAAAAATAGCATAAGATGATCTTTATACCCCGTATATACTATGGTTTAATACATTTAATTTTGGTAATACAAGTAAAATTTTATTTTATTTAGGAGTCCGTTCTTTTTTTTAAATCCACTACATATTTGCAATCTAAATTTTGTTTGAAAGTAGGTACGCAAACAACCTAGGGAAATAAATTGTCGCATTGCAATTAAGTATACATTAACCTTCAATTCTACCTTGATATTAGAAAATGTGTTATTTGCATTTTGATACGTACATTTTGTGTACCGCAGTATTCTAAACGAATAAATTTATGTTTCTGTATATTGGTTTGGACTTTATTTTTTCTCTAGGGAAGCATTATTTTTTAAAGATATTCAATCAAAATATAAATTATTCCTACGGGTTACACGATGTACACTTATGAACGTCAATAAAAATATTTATTAAAAAGTGAAATGCAAATAAATCGTTTTAAGCTCTTTTAAATTTAACTAAATAACTCTGAAATAAATATTATTATTATTCAATAAAGTTTTTTTTGTTTTACAAAATGTTTGTAAGGAGCTGCACTTTGCTCTTCACATCCTAAAGCAATCAATTATAATAACAATAAAAATATATACGAAAACAATCGTTCATTCTCTATCAACAATAGGCATGGCGAAATAGTAGCACGCACTTACTGTGTGAACACGCAAACACGTAGTATCAAAGTGAATCAAAGTGGAAGTAATATATACTGTCAGTCACTATATACTATTACTAGGTATATAATTTTAAGCACCTAATCACCGAATCATTAAATAAGTAATTACTTAGTAAAAACTCAAATTAGTAGTTAAATTTTTTCTTATCTATTTTGGAAGTGTACTTTTTTATAAATTTTATATTTACAACATTATCATATATTTTATATAGATAGATACTAGTAGGTACTTTAATAAATAAAAACCGTAGTGACAGAAATCGTTTTGCTTGACCAGTAAAGAGGTCAGAAAATAATGCTCGTCGTAAAAATTGTGACACATTTACATTCAGCGCGGTTTTCTAAGAAATGTGATATTCCTTTACGCAGCATGTTTAAAGGGATTGCTTTTATCTTTTGATATATAAAAATGAACGCAGTCAGCATTCATTTTTATATACTTATACACAGATTTGGCCAATTTTGATCTTGATATATTTGTGGTAGTTCATGGATGGTTTCAATGGTGGTTTTTTTGCACATGTTGGTGAGGTTGTTTCTAATATGAGAGGAAGTTTCTAATAAATTAGTTTCTAGCTTCAAAACATTTGATGTCTTGTTTTTTTTCTACTTGTCAAGCATTTAAAAGTGTACATAAATTGTGTACTAAGGTGTGAACACATTTTACAGAAATAAATGTAGGTGTTACGAAGTTCACCAGTATTGTCTTTTGTTATGGTGATTTGCTAGATATTTTTAATAATGACGCTGGAGATCTTTTATTCTAGTCGAAGACTAAGTATAATCACTAAGTGTGTCTAAGTTAATCATTATTAATATTTTTAGATACGCCACTAAAGAGACACTTTTGTGCCTGAAAATGACATGATACTTGATGCTTTAAATTATTGAGTATTCAATATTAATTGTTTTAGACTTTTATATTAAATTCTAGTCTTACGTATAAAAGTGGGAATCATTGTTTTGTCCACAGTTCGCAGTCAACTTGTTCCGAACATTGCCGCCCTCATCAAACCCAAATGGTGCGGAATTTGACCCTGAAGAAGACGAGCCGACCCTGGAGGCGGCGTGGCCCCATTTGCAACTGGTTTACGAGCTGTTCCTTCGACTACTTGAGTCGCCAGACTTCCAGCCAAATATAGCCAAGAAATATATTGACCAAAAGTTCGTTTTGCAGGTAAGTAAATTTATTTTGCGAAAGTATAATTTTATTATTGCGTTAAATGTCTGCGAACGTCTATAAGAAATTAGTAAATCATTTGAAATTAAAGAAAGCAATATTATCTAAATATAATTATTTTATAGTTTCGAATCTTTAAATAATAGAGGAAACACAGCGTTTGAATATACAACTTCGAACTTAGTTTCGTCAAGTATTAGGTTAACATGACAGCGCGATAGTATCGACTACCTATACAATTTCTATAGTTTACTAAACGTATTCGAAAGATGTATTCTCCCGTTTTCCAATTTCGCCCACGACGCTTTTAACCTTTTCCATATAAAAATGTATCGTTACTTTTCTATTACGAAAGCTATTATATATATACAGCTGTATAGTGCTTAGAGTGATTAAACAATGGTCTTTTGCGCATGGGGGGTAATCAACCGTTAATTATTTTTAATTGATACTAATATCCGTTCGACAAGTGTTGTTTTTGAATGCTGTAGAAGGAACGTTAAGACACAAAAATAGTTTTTAAATCTAAATTATTTTATCTACCTACATATATTTCTACTATGTACAGTTATGAACATCAATATTTAAAATGAAATTATCAAGGGCGTAGAGCGGGCGAGAAGAAGCCAAGCATCTATTTGTCATTCTTTTAAATCGCTAATTTGTTTTGTAAGGAAGGAAGTTACAGAATGCTGCGTAATAAAAATTGTTTATAGTTCTGTTACAAAAAACGAAAATTGCTGATACAAAAGGTTTTACATCAACGTGTAGTAACAATAATAAATACACTATACTATACTGTTTATACGCTTAAGGGAGATCGCCATATTATGAATTTATATTTTTTTCGTTATATGGTTTGTTGTATAGAAGGGTTTGGGCTAGGACTTTGGTTGAAAGAACCAAAAAAAGTCGAGTAATTTTGACTCTACACTCATGGTTTACACTTTACACTGTATGTCTAAAATTATGTCAAAAGGCGCTTTATTCAATTGATATTATATTATAATAAACTTATATATTATTTTTTTTAATAAAAATATTATAATAATATCAATCCCGATATTCAATATTTATATGATTAGTACCCCTGACAGCGAATCCATGGGTCCCGGGTTCGATCCCCGACAAACATCGATGTGATGAGCATTTGGTGTTGTGCTTAGGTGTTTAAATATGTATGAATATGAAACATATATAAATTCTTGAATAGTGCTGAGTCGTTCAATTTCGTACGGTATCACATTTACAGACATCATGACATTTAAAAAACAAATGAATTAAGACGCAATCAGGAGTTTAAAACAGACGTTAATTAATTATTAATTAATTTCTAAGTTAATTACGCCTTTTTTATATCTATATAAAAATTAATCTTAAAACATGTTGCTAAAAGACAACCGGAGTATTTTTGTTTTAAATTAATCATTGAACTCTGAAGGTTTTTATGGAGAGAAATTTGAAAATATCTATTTATTTTATTTACTATTCCGGAAAAGCAAACAATTTTTATAGCATAGCAAAGTTGTGCATATGTTGATATATCCTTACTTAAAAGGTAGTTAAGAAAAAACATATATGGCAAAACGAAGTTCGCGGGGACAGCTAGTATTTAACCCCCCGGGGGGGGGGGGGGGGGGGGGGGGGGGGGGGGGGGGGGGGGGGGGGGGGGGGGGGGGGGGGGGAAAGAAAAAAAAAAAAAAAAAAAAAAAAAAAAAAAAAAAAAAAAAAAAAAAAAAAAAAAAAAAAAAAAAAAAAAAAAAAAAAAAAAAAAAAAAAAAAAAAAAAAAAAAAGAAAAGAAAAAAAGGGGAGGGGGAGGGGGGGGGGGGGGGGGGGGGGGGGGGGGGGGGGGGGGGGGGGGGGGGGGGGGGGGGGGGGGGGGGGGGGGGGGGGGGGGGGGGGGGGGGGGGGGGGGGGGGGGGGGGGGGGGGGGGGGGGGGGGGGGGGGGGGGGGGGGGGGGGGGGGGGGGGGGGGGGGGGGGGGGGGGGGGGGGGGGGGGGGGGGGGGGGGGGGGGGGGGGGGGGGGGGGGGGGGGGGGGGGGGGGGGGGGGGGGGGGGGGGGGGGGGGGGGGGGGGGGGGGGGGGGGGGGGGGGGGGGGGGGGGGGGGGGGGGGGGGGGGGGGGGGGGGGGGGGGGGGGGGGGGGGGGGGGGGGGGGGGGGGGGGGGGGGGGGGGGGGGGGGGGGGGGCCCCCCCCCCCCCCGGGGGGGGGGGGGGGGGGGGGGGGGGGGGGGGGGGGGGGGGGGGGGGGGGCCCCCCCCCCCCCCCCTCTGGGGGGGGGGGGGGGGGGGGGGGGTTCCCCCCCCCCCCCCCCCCCCCCGGGGGGGGGGGGGGGGGGGGGGGGGGGGGGGGGGGGGGGGGGGGGGGGGGGGGGGGGGCCCCGCCGCGCCGGGGGGGAAACACGGGGGGGCCGCGCCCCCCCCTTTTTTTTGGGGGGGGGAGGGGGGGGGGGGGGGGGGGGGGGTGTGGGGGGGGGCCCCCCGGGGGGGGGGGGGGGGGGGGGGGGGGGGGGGGGGGGGGGGGGGGGGGCGGGGGGCCCGGGGGGGGGCGGGCCCCCCCCCCCCCCCCGCCCGGGGGAGGGGGGCCCCTCACACTTTTTGTGGGGGGGGGGGGGGGGGGGGGGGGGGGGGGGGGGGGGGGGGGGGGGGGCAGGAAAAAAAAAAAAAAATTCCTTCCCCCGGGGCCGCCCCCCCCCCCCCCCGGGGGCCGGGGGGCCCCCCCCCCCCCCCCCCCCCCCCCCCCCCCCCCCCCCCCGCCCCCCCCCCCCCCCCCCGGGGGGTTTTTTGTGTTTTGGGGGGGGGAGGGAAGAAGGGAGGCGGCAGCGAAATTTTAATATAAATTGTGGGCGCGGGGGGGGCGCCCGGGGGGGGGTGGCACCCCACGCGACCAATTAAGGGTTAATAATGATTATTAAACTACAATGCCTCAACATTATTATTGTTCGGTTTGCTTATACAATTATTATAACTTTGTCGACAGCTCCTCGAACTATTCGACACAGAGGACCCAAGAGAGCGGGACTTTCTCAAGACTACCCTACATAGGATATACGGAAAATTTCTAGTTCTACGTGCATATATAAGGAAACAGATCAACAATGTTTTCTATAGGTAAGAACTGTTAACAATTGTATTAACCTAATGCGTGTCATTCAAAAATATGAATAAGCATAATGACATTGGTCAACCGCTGACATTGCTGACTCGTTTGTCCTAAATTAATTTAGCTGAAGGTGCGCTCTGACAGCTCACATCTTAATCTATATAAATTACGCGTCACGTTGTTTGTCCGCTATGGACTCCTAAACTACTGAACCGACTTCAATTAAACGTGTGCAGTTTGATCTAACTTAAAAGACAGCATAGCATGGCTTACATCTCAATTTATATCCGCAATATAATTTTATTGCAAAATATTTGTTTATTATTTGATAGTCACAATTCTAACAGATGGCGCTGTGTTGAAAGTACCAACGTTTCACGTAAGGTACAATTAAATGGCATAACCACCAAAAAAGCATGGTGGTCTCCATGACTGGTGTTCTCCTACCGTTTCCCCTGAATAGTTTACTTGTATTATGTAATATAAGAAAAACCTAAGCCACAGCAATGCTTGGCCAGTCTGCTAGTATTATATATGTGCGGATATTTGGTACCAAACACCAACTAAATAATAATCCAGTGAGGCTACCGATCAGCATCTATTTCCTTTTTTTTATTTGGACCACAAAGTTAGGATAAACATAAGATACAAATCGACGTACATATGAAACGCCGTCCCCTATAACATGGGGACGCGACCAGCGAAATTCAAGAATATACAAAAACAGTGTTGATAAAAACAACAAAATAAAGTGAAACTTCTTTGTAAATTAATTATTGAGTAATTAAGCTGCCCAAATCCCATAATTTAATTTTGCCAGTCTTTCTATATTAATGAATGGCACTAAGGATAATTAAAAACCAGTACTAATATTAGTTGTTGTTATGTATATAGAAATACCACCATAAATATGGTAACAATATTATACTAGCACATCTTAATATAGAAAAAAAAATCGACAAAAACGCTGCACGTCTTCGTGACCTAAAAATTTACCCTCATGCGCCTAAATTTGAGCCCAGTGTGCAGAGTGACAGTTTCATAGAAAAAGTCAGTGTAAATAAGAGTGAAATTCTGTTATTTAGTGATGATATAGGGAAAAATATTGGTACTAAATTATATCAGTCCTCCGGCAAAATTGTAACAAATCATTGTATGCCCGGAGCCACCCCTGTAACCATTTTCAACAAAGTCTTGTGTGGAAATTACTCAAATAACACAACTTTAATATTGCTTTTTGGGAGACCCCTTCTCTCAAAAAGCAATATTAAAGTTGTATATAAATGTAGGACAAAATGAATTGTTGTCATTTATTGATAAAGTAAAATCACTTAATGTAGAGAATATTGTCTTGTATACATTTCCTTACATCAAAGGTGCACCAAAGGAAAATAAAATTAGATATAAGTTAAACATGCTGTTGCACAATACTTTGACTACTAATAATATACAATTAAATTGTGACTTAGGTACACTACCTAATTTAATGGACATAAATTGTATATTTAAAAATAAGTATGTATTGACAAAGGATAGGTTCCGCCTACATAATTATTATTTACAACAGATAGCTACTATGCTATCTTACTTTTTATTTACAACTAAAGCTAAACATTTAGCTTTTCAGACAACTGCTTCTATTGAGCAGCTTAGCTTAAAAGAATGTAGTGATACTTGCAGTAGCACTTCATTAAGTATTAATAATTTAAATTAGATAGTGTGACAATAGAGGCAAACTCTAGCAATAATTTAGTACAACTCAGCTCAACATGTAATATTACTAACAACAACTGTTTAAACTTGATGCATCAAAACATGCAAGGTATGTTGGGCAAAGAATTAGAATTGGAGTTGTTTTTAAAATCAAGTAAAATTGATGTCCTATGCATTACCGAACATTGGCTTAGAGAATGCCAAATCATCTTTAACTTTGATCAGCACCAAGTTGCAAGTTCGTTTTGCAGATTGTCGGCGATTCATGGGGGCTCTTTGATTATTGTTAATAAAAATTTAAAGTATAAAGAGCGTAATGACATCGTGTGTCTGTCTGTAGAACATTCTTTGGAAGTAGCCTGTATAGAGATTGAGAATTGCATTATTCTAAGTGTTTACAGACCACCAAGTGCATCTTACGATTTTTTTGAAGAAAAGTTGGAGGAAATTTTGTGTAAAGTTAGTTTTAAGAACAATAAGTATATTATTGTATGTGGTGACTTCAATATAAATTTATTAGAAAATACCTCCATTAGTAAAAAATTAAATCTGTTATTAAAATCTTACAATCTTGTTAACTTGTTTCTTGAGCCCACTAGAATTACAAGCTCCACTGCTACATGTATAGATAATGTATTTACAGATGCAGAGGCAATGCAAACCTTAATTACAACTGATCTTAGCTCAGATCATTGTGGACAGTTAGTGGCGCTAAAATGTAAAGTGATGAAACAAGTAAATAAGACCAGTGTGTTTGTTCCAGTAAATAAAAAGCGAATGGTGAGATTTAGACATAATATAGGTAAACACCTACCTTTATTACCGGTAGGTACTACCGTTGATACACAATACAACAATCTAAGTGATTGTATTAATAAAGAGTTCAACACCATCTTTACCCCAAAGAAAGTCTCTCATTCGCAGTGTAAATCGTTTAGTGATTGGGCGACAGCGGGAATTTATAAAAGTAGATAACGGTTGTATGACCTTTACGCTGAAAAGTCATACAATCATAATGAAGAATTTATTCTTTATGTTCGAAATTATTCGATAATATTTAAGAAAGTTTGTTACGCGGCCAAGTCCTTAAATATCAAAAACAAGATTAAAAATAGTACCAATAAAACTAAAATGACTTGGAAGATAATTGATAGTGAAACTGGAAGAGTCAGGGATCGCAATCAAGACATCGAACTATGTGTCGATAACACTATAATCAAATCTAACGAAGAGATAGCGATTGTTTTTTATAAGTACTTTTCTGACATTCCAATTTCGACTACTAAGTCTCTTGAATCATCTCCCGCCCTCGCTGAATCGCTGCTCAAAGATAATGTAAACGAGTGCAAGGTCAGTTTTACATTCCGACCCATTCCGGTGCCGACGATATAGTGAGGATATTTAGAACCATAGATATTAAGAACACTACCGATCTTTGGGGTATTTCTGTAAAAATTATTAGTAGCATAATTGATGTAATTGCTCCCCATCTAGCTATAATTTTCAACAATTGTATTAAAAGTGGCGAGTTTCCCGATCTAATGAAACATAGTAAAGTTATTCCATTATTTAAAGCAGGTAGTATGTCCGACCCCAGTAACTTTAGACCAACTTTCCGTACTACCTACTTGTAGTAAAATATTTGAAAAAATTATATTAAATCAACTGGTAAGTCATTTTAACGTAAACAAATTATTACATAATAATCAGTTCGGTTTTCCCAAGGGTCGCTCGACAGCCGATGCCGGTGTTGAGTTATATAGATATATAGTTAAGGCTTGGGAGGAGTCGCATGACGCTTTAGGTGTTTTCTGCGACTTATCCAATGCATTTGATTGTGTCCAACACGAGACCTTAATCGGGAAACTCGGCCACTATGGCATCAAGAATACCGCACTGAATCTTCTGACTTCCTATTTACACGGAAGAACTCAGAAGGTTGAAGTGAATGGTAAGAGGTCCTCTGGGTCGGCAGTAGATATGGGGGTACCACAGGGCTCAATTCTTGGCCCTTTCCTCTTTCTTGTTTATATAAATGATCTACCTTTCATGGTAGAGAGAAAACATCAGATAGTTTTGTTTGCTGATGACACGTCCTTGCTTTTTAAAATCAAACGACAAATAACAAATTTTGACGATGTGAACAATGCTCTGTCTTCGATTGTCCATTGGTTTAGTATGAATAACCTTCTACTGAATGCAAAAAGACAAAATGCATTAAATTTTGTGCAAAAAATGCAAGGGTTATGGATACTAGACCAATTATAAACGGTGAGGAATTGAATCTGGATGATACAACTGTATTTCTCGGAATCACCATGGATTCAAAACTTCAGTGGTCCCCTCATATTAACGGATTGGCGAAGAGACTTAGTTCTGCAGCCTACGCGGTTAAAAAAATTCGCTCACTAACTGATGTCGATACAGCTAGACTTGTTTATTTTAGTTACTTTCATAGCTTAATGACTTATGGCTTATTATTATGGGGTCATGCTGCTGATGTCGAAACTATTTTCATCCTGCAGAAGAGGGCTATTCGTGCAATCTATAATTTAAAATGTAGGGAATCTCTTAGAGATAAATTCAAGGAAATTAATATACTTACCTTTCCCTCGCAATATATTTATGAAAATATTATGTATGTGTCACCGTAAAATTGTAAACACCGTTAGATTGTAATCTATCTCGCGAGATTGTAAACTGTCGAAAGATTGTGAACTCAACGTACTGCTTACAATTTAACGTATTATTATTCGGTAGATTGTAATCTGTCGAAGTGAAACCGTCAAATTGTGAAACGGCCATTTTCTACTTTTCTATTGGTTATAAGTGATGTGACATTCTCGTTTTCTATTGGTTATAAGTGATGTGACATTCTCGGTAAATTAATCGGATCGATTATTTCCTCATTTGTTATTTTTAAAGTTGAACCTAATCGAATCGATTATTTCCTCATTTGTTAATTTTAAATTTAAACCTAATTTAACCATTACATTAACTTCATGTTTCAATTAGTGTATGGTTCCGAAAATTTTTAAATTATTCAAAAAGTACCCAAAACCGAATCAGAGCACCCCACTATCCACGTGGTCTTGTCTGCCCTACCCCTAGAGTGTATATAAAAAAATCGGAGGCGCAGTGGAAGAGCAGCCCCCACCCGCTGTAACAAAGCACAGGCATTATGCAAGCCGTAGCGGCTAAGGATGGTCCAAAAAGGCAAAGCTGCGGAGGCTTGAATAAATTGCCTGTGCTTTGGTACACAAGGGTGGAGGGGCTGCATTTCCCGTAGCGCCGGTGCTGTCCAAAAAATGCATTATTATTCGGTTAGGTTAGGTTAGTATATTAATAAAAAAAATTTAAATAACTGTTCAACTGAAACTCGAAATCCAATACAAAAACGAATACAAAAATCGATTTTCATTTTTAAAAAATAGATTATTTTTGAATAATTTCAAAATTTTCGGAACCCTACACTAATTGAAACATGAAGTTAATGTAATGTATGTGCATTTGACAAGTAATGGTTAAATTAGGTTTAAATTTAAAATTAACAAATGAGGAAATAATCGATTCGATTAATTTACCGAGAATGTCACATCACTTATAACCAATAGAAAACGAGAATGTCACATCTCTTATAACCAATAGAAAAGTAGGAAATGGCCGTTTCACAATTTGACGGTTTCACTTCGATAGATTACAATCTACCGAATAATAATACGTTAAATTGTAGGCAGTACGCTGAGGTTCACAATCTTTCGATAGTTTATAATCTCGCGAGATAGATTACAATCTAACGGTTTTTACAATTTTACGTTAACATATGTATACAAAAATAGTGATAAGTTTACTAGAATAGAACATACGCACAATGTTAATACACGGAACAAACGCAGGCTGCAATTTCCCCGTACTAGACTATCTAAAGTTAGTAATTCTTTTTTGGGGAAAGGGATAGTCTTCTTTAATAAAATCCCAGAGGCTCTTTTATCACTGCCTTTCAATAAATTTAAGAAATGTATTAAAGAAAAGCTGTGTAAAAAGGCTTACTATAAAGTCAACGATTATCTAGTTGATAAAAGGGCCTGGGACTAGTGCTAGACAGGCTACTTCTAATTAATTTGCGATATTTGTTTTAAATAAGTGTTGTTTGATGATTTGCTGTTTTAAAAGAGTACCGAGAGTTTTTTACGCCGGCTTTTTCTCTCGGCCTACACCCTCTGTATTCTTTGCCGATGAGTAGGGATGCCTTCAAATTGAATGACGTGGAATAAGTGATACATGTATCTTATGTTCCATAATAAACATATTTTATTTTATTATTATTTTTTTAAAGAAGTTTCACTTCAAAAATAAAATAAAAAGAATTAAACTATTTCTTTGACAACTTTTATAGGCAAACTAGCCGCCCTTCCCGGCGTCGCGCGGGTGGAAATTTATTTTTAAAACATTTTTCGTAGATATTAATATGTTCTTTAATATTGTGGAACATTTTTTTTGTTCTATCACCAATAGTTTTCGCAGCGCATGCGATGAAAGATAATGTATATGTATTTTTTACACCTTCTGTAACATTATTGTAATTTTAATAGCGAGACTTATTTTTTTCTTGCAATTAAAATAGCCTATATTAATCAGTGATAATGTAGCATTCAAATGGTGAAAGAATTTTTAAAATCGCTCCAGTACTTTTTGAGACAATTCGTTACAAACATACTTACACACAAATCTTTCCTCTTTATAATATTCATTGAGTGTGGGTATATCCTTAAAATCGTTTGGCACGAAGCGGGGGTTCGAAGGTTTTTAACGTTCGTGGGCCAGAATTAGAAGCAGCCAAGTTAACAAAAAATCTGGATTATAATCTATGTTAATATGTAGTACTTTTCTATATGATTTTAAAGTTCACCTTTTTCACTTAACGTTAGTGACCAATTGCTGCAGCGGTTATTTTGAATACACCCAATAGTAAATTAGTTTTGACATTCATTGCGTGTCAAACATTCAATTTAAAGTACAGATTTTATTCGATTTTAACATGCAAATAAATGGAATGTAAATTATATTGGCCCAGGTTAGGGTTATGTCGGCATCACGTCATCGTTTAACATTACCGTATTCATAAATCGTAGGTAGTAGAATTTTGGAGTTATATAATGCATTTTTTATTTTCTTTTTCATTCTTAATTTAAATTCGAATAATCGAAAGTCCAAATAAATGATAATAGTAAATATTTTTGCATTTAAGAATTCTAATCATTATAAACTTCATAGGACATAAATATATCTTGAGAAATCTACGCGTTGTAGCGGGGAAAAACCACGTTAGATAAGGGACGGAAAACGCGTTATAGGGATACCGTGTTATATGGGGGATTACTGTACTTCTCAGCAATCGTGGGCACAGAGAGATTCAAGAGTTATATAAATAATGGTTATTTAAATGTATTCATCCAGTTTGCGATATATTTTTTAATTTACTACATAATTATTTTTCTAAATAGAAACTTATAATTGCAAAACGCTATATTGATTTGACTTACTTCAGTTTACGTGCAAGCTTGCAATATGCATTTAATGTTTTATTTATATTACAGGTTTATATATGAAACGGAACATCATAACGGCATTGCCGAGTTATTAGAGATACTTGGATCAATTATAAACGGCTTCGCGTTGCCACTCAAAGAAGAACATAAACAATTTTTGCTTAGGGTAAGTTACTATTAGGGTACTTTCATAATTTAGAACGCCAGAATCTAGTTCCAAGAGCTCTTATCAAAACAATTCGTGCGAAGTATTACATATTCATACAAACATTACCTGTCCACATCGTATCCCTAACTTTCGTAATAACTACTAACTGACGTGAGACTGATCTTAAATTAAATTATTATGATTCATGTGCACTTTTTAGTTTTTATTTTTCATATAAAGCATACATGAAAAATTAGTTTAGTTTCTTTTTTTTTCTTAATAACTATATGTAATATGTCTACCAGAATCTGATGGCAAAAAAATTTAAAAATTAGCGATTTTCATATGGCAATAAAAGAAAAATTTCATCTGTCAACTGAAATTTTGAGGAATTGTTTTTGGTTTGGCTTCAAATTTCCTTTAAAAAGTGATGAAAATGTCGAAGAAACCTCTTCAATCGTAAGCAAGACAAATTGTTTTCAATGTTTATCAAAGAATACTAATTGGTCAACAAGATGCAGAAATACACAATCACGAATTGAGCCATGCAAGCGTTGACTGATTGTAGAGTGACAGTCTTGATATTGTTTGGATTTTCGGTAAATTATGTACTTATACTAAACTTTGTTTATTTAGGGGTTTCTTATACTACAAATAAACTTGATTTTGATTTAGAATTGATCAGAAACAAGATAAATGGTTTTACACTTTTCTTTCTCTCAATAGGATCGATGAATGGCTAAAATCTTGTGAACAAGATCGGTTAATTGAGATGCAGGAGGAAAGTTTTATCATAAATACTGCGTTGAAGACGTTTTTATGGATGTGCAGATTTGGAACCATTTTCAAGTTCTTAATTAATTAATAAACTCATGAAAGAGAATTTGAGTTTTCATCTAAATTTCAAACCCCAATTCGCCACATTTTCAAAAATTATCCTTGTCATTGGAGAAATTTTTATATTTACATGTATCACACACAGAATCAGCCACTATAAGGGGGAAAAAATATCAAAACGTTTTACTCCAATTTCCCCAGTATTGCTAGCGTAAATTTCTTTTTTCCCTTTTTGCCATCGATCCTGAGACCTATAATATGTATTTTTGCACTTCTTGCCTACCTTATCTTATTTAATACATTTTTTTTCTTTTCTCACAGTGGTTGCCTGGAAGAGATCGCTCGTAAGCGATAAGGCCGCCAGTTGTCCTCCTTTACATTTGATTATGTTAATTTTTTATATTGTGATGCAACGAAGTGTAAATAAATAAAATAAATGATAAATATTTGACAATGCTCAAGAAGAGATTACGATTTGATATACGAATTAAATGTGATGCGTAGACCAGTGCAAATCTGTATTACCAGAAAAGCAATACTATGGAACACAACATAGTCCGCGAAAATAACAAGAGAATAATTTAAAAACCCTTTTGCTAACTTTTTGGCTTGCCGTGAGCTGAGCTAAAATGCAGTATAGAAAAATTATGATTTATTTATATTTAAAAAAGGTTTGCCAACGGGCCTTACAGTACAGCTTATATCTCGGAAAACACATAAATAACAATTAATTGTACACCTTTTAAGAGGCAAATAGCATACTGCAGCATATAATATTAGCTTATCTTAACAATTAAAAAACAGTTCTCTCGCGTTTAAGTCTATACTTACCTTTTAAGGGATCGCCCTGATAGCTACTGGGGGGGCTAAAACAAAAGAAGGAAAATTGCGTAATCATTTCCAGTGTCAACGTACAACATATAATTTACAGTAAAATTACTGCAAATACATAGACCAGTCAGTCAAGACAATTAATTCATAATAATTCCAAAAGTTTTCAAATTTTGATGTAAGGTCGGGAGTGGTATTAAAACAAACTATAAAATTTTGCAACCTGCTCTGCAGTCCGGAACATTGTTAAAAATGCAATAAATAATAATTTGCTTAGTTCTTGAGACCAAAATTCCAAAAGTTCTGCAAAGTTGGAGTGGTGTTAAATATATTATTTTACATCACGTGTCAAATTTGCAACCAATTTAAGTGTACGGAACATTATTTAATTAATGTTGTTCTTTATTAAACTGAAGGAAAACGTTCCAAAAGTTCTGCAAATTTGACAGATATATCGAAAATAAAATAAATAACAAAAAATGTTCCGTACACTTAGGTTGGTTGCAAATTTTATACGTGATATGAAATATTATATCGAAAACTTCCCCAAGTTTGCAGAACTTTTGGAATTTTTTTCACGACCATACAGACATAAAATTAATTTAATTGCAATTTTAACAATGTTCCGGACTGCGGACAAGGTTGCAAAATGAGATTTATTGTCGTCCCAATGTACCATTCACTTGACCGAAGTTTGAAAACTTTTGGAATTATTATCAAATTTTCGATTTCGAATGTCTATAATGACTGGCCTAACAGTTGTCAAATCAAATAGAGTACACGTTTCGTCTACTAATTCTCATCTGGCCGGGAATTGTCCGCAATTACCTCTTGATTTCCGAAATATATTAAGGGTCAATCGACAAGAATTCCAGGCCTAAATGTTTATTGTGCTATTCCAGGTATTACTCCCGCTGCACAAGGCAAAATCTCTATCAGTGTACCACCCACAGCTGGCCTATTGCGTGGTGCAGTTCCTTGAGAAAGATCCGTCACTCACCCAGCCCGTTGTTCGGTAAGATTAAATTCTTCAGTAATATTCTCCTTTTACGTTAAAACTAACAAACTCGAATATCTATTGATGTATTGGCGCCATCTCGTGACACTTTGCAAATAAATTAATGTTAAAAAACTGTTAATAATACATATAAACTAACATAACATACATTTGTATATATGTATAACTGCCTAGGTATATGATACCTAGGCGACACATGCCGTAGTGACCCGTCGCGCGTCGCCACGCAAAGACGCTTTTTATAGAAGTTTCACATCAAAAAGTGTACCTAAAAAGCCGATAACGCATCCGTGAGCAAGCTTATTTAATCCAGCTAAACAGCAAACCAAATTAAACATATACTAATCTTCAGACACATTCCTTAATGGCTAATAATTAAATAATATTTCTTAGTTTTTTTTTTATATCTGTGAAATTAAATAAACCGTTTTTAGGGCATTACTTAAATACTGGCCGAAGACACATTCACCAAAGGAGGTGATGTTCTTAAATGAGATGGAAGAAATCCTAGACGTGATAGAACCAGCCGAGTTCCAGAAAATAATGGACCCGCTGTTCCGACAACTGGCCAAGTGCGTTTCCAGCCCACATTTTCAGGTATGTTTAGTAGGTTCAGGCATGAATATTATTTGGTAATTATTAAATAAATGTTCCTGAGCAGTGTTGGCCTAGTGGCTTGAGCGTGTGACTCTCATCCCTGAGGTCGTTGTATTTTATATGCATATTCAGTAGGTCTGAGAATCGGCTACTATCCATCTTTCAAACCCCTAAGTGCTAAGGGGTGTTCACCCCAAATTTTATTTTTATTTTTTAGACAATTTTTTTGTTTTTATTTTTTTATGATACAGCATACAAAAATACATACAACCCTTAATTATCATCTACCCTCTACGATCATCCCTTATTTTTTATTTGTTAGTTAGGAACTTATAACTTTAAGTCTGAGGTTTATATAGAGAAAAAGCACAGAAAACCCTAAAAAGTTTTCTTTCCGGAAAACCGAACAGTCTCTGGGGTAGCATAGCAAAATGTTCCATGTTGGTCTGTACTGTACTCGCGAGGGCAGCTAGTAAGTGTATATATTCTTCTCCAGGTCGCAGAACGCGCACTATACTACTGGAACAATGAGTACATAATGTCTCTAATATCGGACAACGCGACTCACATACTGCCAATAATGTTCCCATCGCTGTACTGCAATACAAAGTCTCACTGGAACAAGACGATCCACGGCCTGGTCTACAACGCCCTTAAGCTCTTCATGGAGATGAACCAAAAACTCTTTGATGAATGCACGCAACAATTCAGGCAGGAGAAAGAGAAGTGAGTTTTAACATTTTAATAATTTTAAATATATTTATCAATAATTACGTAAAAGTCAAAGTCAAAGTCAAATCGTTTATTTCAATTAGACCATCTAAAATGGCACTTTTGAACGTCAAAAAAAAAAAAATATAAAGATGATTCTAGTTGCCCCTTCCAAAAGGTAGTTTCGTGTGGAGAAGAATGGGCAAGAAACTCCACACTTACTCTTTTAAAATAGGTTTACAATATTTTGTTACATTTGTTAAATAATTATATGTGAAGACAATGTACTCTTAGAATAAACTACTATACTAAAAAAGTTAGTATACATGTTCCTCACATATTTACAAATATCGAAACCTTAGAATATTAACATTAAAGAGTAATAAAAATATTAAAAAAACACAACAAAACAGTGTGTGAGATACAAAAAAAATAATTACATTTGTAGCATTATATAAATTAAAAAAAATAATAATAATAATAACAAAAATATGTTAAAGCAAAAAATCAGCAACCAATTTGATTTTGTCCAGGCTATAGAGCCAATCAAAGGATTGATCGTACAGGAACGATCCAAAGTTTTAGTAACACTTTAAAAGTAATGGTAATAAGATTTAAATGTGATCTTAGACATGATGAGAGTATGGATGATGCATTAGGTTTCTAAGCACATCTGATACATTTTATAACTGTATGTATGTATGTACATAAATTTCACCGAAACTAAGATATATTTAAAACAGGTTTCAACTTCCTAAGTTGAAGTTTCATCAATATCGGGTAAGTGGTATATTATATATCAATCCCCGTCTGGGGAATGCAAATGCTTACATCTAAATACTCCATACATGTTCCTGTTCCTGATTAGATATTTGAAGGTATTTTTTTTTTGAAATCCGTTTTATAAAAAAATTATACAAGTAATTTTTTTTTTTCAGGGAGACAGAACGTCTTCAGCAGCGTGAAGAACTATGGCAGCGGTTGGAGGCCGTTGCAGCGGCTAATCCCGCCTGTCGACAGCTTGACTCAGAACCACTCACGCCTGATGCTGAGGTGAGATATTTATTTTACCACAAAGGTGAATATAGCCGCTAATCAAAAACCCTAATGAAGTTAACTGAATAACACTCATCCTTAAGTTAGCCTGGTGGCTCAATCAATGACGGTGAAGTTAGCCGCTAATAAAAAACCCTAATGAAGATAGCAACTGAATAACAGTCATCCTTAAGTTAGCCTGGTGGCTCAATCAAAGACGGTGAAGTTAGCCGCTAATAAAAAACCCTAATGAAGTTAGCAACTGAATAACAGTCATCCTTAAGTTAGCCTGGTGGCTCAATTAAAGACGGTGAAGTTAGCCGCTAATAAAAAACCCTAATGAAGTTAGCAACTGAATAACAGTCATCCTTGATTAGCTGGTGGCTCAATCAAAGACGGTGAAGTTAGCCGCTAATCAAAAACCCTAATGAAGTTAGCAACTGAATAACACTCATCCTTAGGTTAGGAGCCACCAATCAACAATGACGGTGAAATTAGCCGCTAATCCCTGTAGTGAAGTCATCGCAATTGTCATGAAATAAACCTATATTTACAATTTTATTCGCAATATAATATACTAATCGGTATGATGAAAAGTTCGTAGGTATACACATAGATGGCGCTACTAGTGTCAAATTAATATGATTTTTTGTGTATAAATTTGACAAGTGCCGTACTATTGGTTTGTGAGATATTGTATTTTGAGTTAAGGAACTTTTGTTTGTTTAAAAAAATGGATAAAAAGAAATTTCGTGTCACGTTCACTTTTATTAATAGTTTTGAAGATAATAATTTACGTACTTTTGAAGTTGGACGCCAAAATTATACATTTCTGAGTCACACGATGCATAGAATAGGCTAATAAGTGTTTTAAATTTTATGACTTATAATTTTTTTCCTTGTTTATGTAATACAATAGAAAACATAATAATTCAAAATTTTAACTATTGAACACAATATAACATAACAAGAAAAATTTAACCTTTTTATAACAAATTATAAATGCAATCCTCGTGAATTCAGCCATTGTGCAACTAAATATATTAGTCTCACATTAAGTAATAGTATTCAGGGTGCGAAAGACAAGCGTAAATCATACTTTCCTAAGTAAATTTGTACGCGCCCGCACATCAGTGCGGGCGCGTACAAATTTAGTAACAAATTTACAAAGTACGGCCGCAATTGCTATCAAGCAATTGCGGCCGCTTACCACGCCGAGTGTGATTATTTGTGCCACTCGCAGCCCAATATCTCCAACATTTCCGCATTATATAACATCTTCTAAATCATTTTAATAATTAAGTCTCATCCGAGCCTTTGCATTTTTCCTTTAGATAAATTGTAAATGCTAGAAAATGCTTGTTATTTAAAGTATAAACAGACAGAAAAATTCACAAAACATACATTAACTTTCAGATCCGAAAGAATCACAACGCGACGAAGCCACTCCTGCGCAAGAAATCTGACCTGCCACCTGACGCCTCCACTGTGAAGGCTCTCATTGAACACAAGCGACCAGACCCATATCTCACGACCACACCGGACGCGGACAAGTGTTAGCGGACTTTGCCCCACGGGGGCCTGTGCCCCGACCGGGAATAAGTGCAAGCCGAGTAAGTGACCCCAAAAACATTCCCGAATGTGAAATTTCAACTTTATCTGGACTCATATGGTGCCAACGGCCTTTAAGTGAAGTGAAATAGGTACGAATTCTATTAGATCAAAGATTACGACAAACTTCATACTAGAATTTGGCGCTTTTTGTATTCTTAATGACATAATATCACTCATACTAAAATTTCAGATTGTTAAAAAATAATCAACAGTTTATTCTAATCGCTAAATTCATTGGGACCATGAAGTTAGCGCCGATCCAAAATGATCGCGAAAACAATAACATAATTACATTGAATTTATCCACTTATCTAAACACTCTCGTGAAGTTAGTAGCAAATTAATAATGAAGTTAGCACAAGTGTCATTACCTCTAATCCACAATTATGTTAATTCTTAATAGTCATTCAGCGCTTATTCTCATTGGTTATGAAGTTTGCCGCGTATTATTTTCGGCGTCACGAACTACACGGATAAGACAATAAATACAAAAGGACAATTATTAAAAGAATATTTATTCATTGCTAAATGTTTACGATATCTTATCTAGCCTTATCGTTTATTTTAGATCATAACATAACAGAAATAGCGAGAATTGGTGATTACGACAAAGATATTTTATAAAGTCGATAATAAAAATTACTTTTTAATTTCACATGAAAGAGCGCAATAATTCTATCCGCGGATTGCCATTTGATCTTCGCACTAATTACCTCCTAATCTATCTCACATTCGACTCAGGTATACCTAGTGTGACTTGTATGTCAAAAAGTATTTGATATACGGTTTGGTTCGCGCAAGTGGACTCTAAATCTTTCTTCGTAAGTTAGTATGAACGGAGAGATGCGATTTGAAAAGTCAAATAATGTGAGAGATTAATTTTAACATGTAGAAAACAAATATAAAATTATGTATATGAGTTCATACTCTATTTTTAAATACACAATAGATTTCACTAAGAGTTAGAAAATAAGTGTGTAAAATTTGACATAATTCACAAATAATTAACCTAATTTCGTACTAAAACCATTCACAGCTTACGATAGCAAATAGTATATGAACATAATTTTATAATGTAATTTCAGACTTTAAAAAATTTGTACTTTGATAATATTTTTGTGGTTACAGCAACACATATTGCAACAAAAGCATTTAACTTTTTTCATTAATATCTTACACTAAAATAGTGCCAATATTAGATTTGATCATGGACGTCGCAGAAACAGAAGGGCTACTAAAAATGATTTAAATTTTAATTTCTAATGTTGTAAACAGTGCAGGTTTCAACAGAACCCAGATTCATTATCCAAATATAACTTAAATAAAAATAATAATTGTTAGCACTGTACAGCGGCACTGCAAACTCATTGTTAAATGAATACTAGAATATTTTTTGGTGTACCGAATTGCAAATGGAGATAGTGTTTAGTTAAATTATTATAAACCTCACGATAGAATTACATAGTTAAACCTAATTATAGTTATATGTTTCTTGTTGTAGGTAAATTTATTGCCCTTGTCTATTGACATTTTAAAACCATTCTTTACCTCATTGACACTAAGTTTTCATTTCTTGCCATAACAAAAATGAATGCAGACATGTGTCAGCTCCGATGTTAAATATATTCCTAATAAATTTCACATTTTTATGTATTTTAAAGTGTCAATATATAAAGGTCTACTTGATGTTATCAATGACTCATAACTCGATAAAGGTATTAGAGAACGTTGTCTAAACGGTTACCATGGTTACCATTTTTATGCGTAACCATAATAACTAACACCCTATAGTCCATCTTTTATAATATGTGCGTTTAAATAAGATAATCGACTGCTATCTCTTCACGTGTTGAGTATCTATTTTTGAAATTGCATTTATCGAATTAAAGTTATTGTTATATAATGTTAACAGTTTATATTCGTGCTGCATATTGTGCGAAATTCTGAGTCTGATTTTGTGTAACATGTATTTATTTCTACACACACGTATGACTGTTTAGAATGAACTATTCATTTAGCTTGACTGTAAGTTTTGTAACGCTTTAATATTAGTTAGGTATATCAAATTGTCCAATATTATTTATTTCTAGGCAGTTTTCCGATCGCCATTTGTTTAATTATGTATGAATTTTATGTCTTCTATTGGTATATGTTCGGTATTTCTTTATTATTTATCTTTCTAGTAAAAAAATATTGTAATAATTCACGGCACCGAATCCAGTAAATAATTGTTATCCGTAATTTTACCTGTAAGTTAAGTTTACCGCACGACTGTACGTGCCGAGTAGTTAAGGTCTAGCAGTATTCACGCTTCAGGAAGCGATTTATTGCAAGTTTTGTATGACTTAGTATAAGTTTGCGTGTACAGTCGCGCGGTACTGTGTGTATAAAGATCTCGGAGTGCGAATGAATGGACTGAGTACACGATAGCGAATAATTTGCGCGCTATTTAACAAATTTTTGTATAAATATTTATAACGATAATGTAACTGTTGAAAACAAATATTGTAACAAAGGACATATTATAAGGTGCTTATGATTATCGTTATAATACAAAGTTGTGCATATACCATGCTGTTTAATTTAATGACATTTTACCCCAAGGATCACGCACACATTGCCAAAGATTGATTGTGTGTGTAAGGCGCATTTGCGGTGCGATGTTTGATAATTGTAGAAAAATTCTGCGTGGTAGTGTTACTTTAGTGGAAGAAATCATAACAGAATTTGTAAAGCTTGATTGTGAAGAATTATAAACAGTGCGACAGTTTCTAGGTTCGTTTGTGAGGTTTCACTGAGGTTTCGAAATGATACGAATCTTTTTTTAACTGTAGCCGTATGATGTGCGCGGGATCAATTGGCGAATTTCTGCCATTCATTTTGAATATGAATACACTGTTTACACGGAAAATTAAATCAATTAAGATATAACATTTATTACTAACAAAACACACACACAAAAATTAAAAAAGAACGAATAATAACATTTTTTTTTCTATTCTTTAATGGAAAAAATCTTTAACAAATCCAATCCAAAACAAATGTTTTGGTTGTAATTGGCCCTGGCTCAGCACTATGCTTAGGACCTGACTGTTCTACAGCGCTGGTCATTCTGCCAGAAACCACAGCAGCTAATTGGCGCAGTCGCAACAAAAGAATAAGAATGTAACAATAATAATATTTGTAAAATTTAGCAGTGTAAGTAATGAATTAACAAAGAAAGTTGTTCGCAATATTTTTGTATTAAGTTGCAACGTACACCACAACGTACACCTACTAAAACAAATATCTTAATTGATCTACTAACATAAAAAGTAACGTAGATTACTTTACTTACGGACCCAACAATGTACAAATATACCAATTTTTAATGGAATATTTAAAAAAAATGTTGTAAGGACTACAGGTGGTACGTGACACATTCTATAGTATTTGGTAGAGTCTGGCTAATGAAAGAAGATAATTGAATTATTTGAAAACTTTTGGATGGCAACACAGAATGTCATTGAATTTCTTAGGTTAGTTTGATTTATTGTGTTGATACTTCATGCAATTACTCATTTTTATTCATATTATATATTTTATACCGAATAGTTAACTCAAGCTACTCTCAATCAATATCTTTAAACTTTGTAACCAACTTTATTGATAGTTTTTCGTAATTTACATTACTACCAGATTGCAAGTCAAGGGCGTAGATTATTCCGCATTTAAAAGTTGTATTTTATGAATAAATATAGTATTAGAAACATTTCCGTAGTCCTCCAATTTATAAAAGCTTTTTGATTAATTTGTTGCTAGGCATTATTAATGTCAATTTTCTTAATTTGCTTGGGGGCTTGTTGTTAAAGATAAATTATGTAAGGCGTGGTTTACTTTGGGCCTGTTGGTCTACAGTCATCTTCGCGTATTATCTGGTGAAGAAAGTCACCATTTGTTTTAAAATCGTTTATATTTTTTTGACATACAAATGCTTCAGATATATTGACCAGTAATTGACCTATATTCCCCCTTCCCAACCCCCCGGAGAAACACAACAAATACCCCGAACAGCCCGCTTCTGCAGCACAAATATCGTGGAATTTAACAGGAAATAGCTAAAACTTTGTTTTATTGATTTTTTGATCTGCATTTTGATTATTCCGACTTTAAGTTGTATTGCAAATAAATATAGTTTTCCATCAATGCTAGTAATTTTAAGTGTCAATAGTACAAGGCTAAATAGGTTTAGTATTTAATTTCATAGACATACAGTTATTTTCAAAATCATCTTAGGGATACATACTTAAAAAAATAATTTTTTGCGCCCTTTTTCGTTATCTTCTTTCAATAGCCGACTCTAGTGATTTTACATTTCGGCACAATAATTAGTCGTAAACTGCTCCTTTTATTGATATTTAAGAAAATTAATGACACTCCCAAGTGACCAGATATCATTTACGCCACTGCACTTCCGGGGTTTATTTTTTAGGTTACGCACATTGACACTTAATCAAAGTCAAAACATAACTTATTCACGTAGTAACTCTTTTGCTCAGATAATGACGGACTTAAGTTAGGCTTTTTCAATTAAGAAGTTTAATTGTCAGATATAGTCTGTAAACTTATAACCTTAAATGAATTGAACTGAATATATTAATTTGACGTAATTCTTTTAAACGAACAAAAATTTTGGTTATTTCACAATAACGAGTGGAATTTTTTCTCTGCCATTTTGGCAGCGTTGATCCTTTTGGTGCTTTCTACGTGTTATTAATAACGTTGAGGAATACGTTCCCACTCTTCGGCAACGATACTTTTTACCTCCTCGATGTTTTGTGGAGCAGGTTGCACTGATCTTACTCGTCTCTTTATAACACCTCAGACATGCAATTGGATTGATGAGGTCTTCGTGCTGGTCAATCTAAACGATGGATCCCAACAATCAAATATTAATAAAAAAATGCCAGAATTCACTTCACGCCTCTTAATTTACACGATTATAAATACATTTCGTTAGGTGTCCGTTTTCTGCAAGTTTTTATATTTAAGTTTATTATTCTTGAAAAATGTTAAGAAAATATCACTTCAATTTTAGATAAAATTTAGTTTTCGCTGTTTTCACACTAACATTGGTTCATCAAGAACGTTAATGAAGTTAACGATTTATAAAGTGGCGTAAGATAGCAAATTTAAGTACCTTCACAATCATATTATAATCTAATAGCCTACCTATTAAATTCAAGGATTTTATTTAGTATTTTCTCGCCGATAGCCACTAACTGTTTTTCTCATAGTTAAATTATCCTTCTGGTATAATATCTCCCGTGGATATGGCAAGACTCAATGGATGTTTCCCGGCGTCACTAAGTCATCCTCATCAAGTAGTATCGTATATTTAAAAAAAAGGGTAAATAAAAAAGTTAAATGTGTAACTCATTTTAATCATAATGATTTAGAAATATCTATATATAATACATTATATTACACATAAATAATATAGTTATAATATTATCGTAGTGCAACATTATTAGCGTATATTTACAATTTTTACATTATGTAATTTTCACATAATTCGAATGCATAACACAAGTTCAATAAACGCCAAAGAATACCGAATTATTTTCACTAGCCAAAAGCATAATAAACATAGCCTGAAGGTAAGAATAGGAATCATAAAAAATCAACATATGACACGGAAATATATAACTCTGCATAGTGCAGCTTTTATCCAACCATGTTATACCAATGATTAGATCTTTGGTAAATTCAAACTCAGTTCAATATATCGTATGCTAATAGTTAGATAATAATTAAATGAATAAAGTGAATAAACGTTAAAAAAATATATTCTCAGTATAATCTAGATTTACTGATCCATTTTTTTTTAATTTAAGAGATCCCGAGAGTCATAAACTATAGAATTACAAACAAAAAGTTCTATGATTTCATAATATAGTTATTAAGAAAATATTAACGCCAATAAATTAAAATCTTAATGATTTGAATCTAGTAAAAGTTTATTTTCGTAAAATTTATTGTCGCTTGGCTATTGTGTGTATGAATTAAACACACTAAAATTTGTATGAAACATAAATTTATTGTAACATACCTATATATAAATGATCACGTGGCTCACCGTGAGCTGTCATACTCATACATATGAGGTAAATAGAGCGATTTAAATAAGTTTAAAATGACAACAAAAAAAAAACTAAAATGAGGGTACATTTACATATTTTAATGGAAGTATAATATTTGTATTTTTCCTACCTACACTTAACTACTTCTCCTAACTACTCAAAAGACACAATCTTTTAGATTTTTTCTAATTTGGTAAATATTCAAACATCAATAAAATACATTGGTACTAAAAAGTAGTCTTAAATAATGGATTTGCTGCAAAATTCAGTTCTAGTAGATGATTTGAGAAAAAGTCCGGATTATTAACCATCTCCACGTTTACGCTAAGCAACAAACGTGTCGAAACTGCGACGAGTCGTTAATAAACAGCGCATTTGATATAATTACATTTCGAGGTAAATTCGGAAATCAAATGGGAAGTTTGATGTCAAAAATTAATATTTCAGTATGGAGATTTCCTAACGCAATGACTACCGTCCTCCAGAGTTCCAGTCAATCAAGGTATTTTTTAAACGACTTAAAAAAGCAACAGTTATCATTTCTATATTTATTGTTTTGTGTATATTAATTTAATTTTTATTGAGGTTTGAGTTCCTTCGTTTATTTCTTCCTGGTAGCCAGTTGATGCTTAAGATGCTCTATGGAGTCGTGTTGAGCGGCGAGCTGGTCATTCAGGGCTGCCAAGTGCTCCGTCAACAGCGACATCTGTTGCTCGTAATTGTGAGACGTAGACTGGAGCTCTTCTTCCTAAAAAATGCTCAGCAATTTGACCAATCAAGCAAACCGTAAAATCAATAAATATTAATAGCTAATAGTAACGGTATTTTTGAACTTTAAAGCGCTCTTGGGGTGTATTTAAAGCTAACGGAACTTCGAACACGTTCGTATAGTTAACTCGATGCTAACGAAACTAACTACAGTGCAAAGGAATCGGTTCTTTAAGCATGTTCGTGGTTCAGTTGTTAGGTTTTAAATGTACATTTTAAGTTTTGCATCTGAAGCACTCAGTTAGATGCGATAGTAAATCTCAAATTAAATCAAACCCGCTTCAGCTTAATGTATGGTTCTTTGTGACTCTCAATCTGAAACTAATAATGAACCTAATAATTGACAATCCAATGTATTACTTGAAAGAAATTTCGATTCCAACCTCGGTGGAATCCTTGATATACTAAGCTCAGAATACAAAAGAAACATACCAGTCGACTAATAGTATTGTGTTTGTCCTGTATCGTGTTATTATCGGCTTCCTTTTCGCGCTCCAACTCTTCGAAACGATGTCGCAAAATTTCACACTGAATATAATGTTATTGTTATTATTATTTTACAAAAACATAAAGGAAAAAATTGAGAAAAAAGAAAATCATTTGCTTCAAATGTAAATCGTTAAGCTTTATAGGAACCCACTCACACCAAAGTACCATTGTTTCCATGGTAACCGTTCTTTGAAAAACATTCAATACCAGTTTTATACTGAAGTTTATAGTCATATTAATGGCAACAACCATTAAAATAGATTCAGTTTAGATTGTAATTCTACCAAATAAATAAATATAAGAATAAATTAAATAAAAGTTAATGCGACAGTATAAAAAACAAATAAAGAGTGGTAACATTATAACATTGACATTCGTCAAAATTACCATCGTAATGTGCGGTTACTGTGTCGTCCGTAATTCTATTTAAACAGTAAAACATAATAAAATGCTTTTGTTCTTCAATCTAATTTGATAAATTACTATAATGTACATTTAGTTCTTTATTAACTATGCATTTAGACTAAATACTATTCTAGTAATAGCATTACCAACTTATTTTTCCTAAAAAAAATTGATTTTGCTTTTACTGCTGTGTATCCCGGGGCAAGCGAAATATCAATGCACCAAGTCATTGTAGATGTTAATCTAAGTCTGTTTCTGAGTCTGTCTGATTCTGAGTCTGTCTCTAAAATAAAAAGCAAAAAAGAACTTACTTCTTTAGCATAAAACTCAATATTGCTCAGCAATTCATCTCTCTCAGAATTAAGCGCTGTGATCTTTTTGCGGAAGTAGGCCGTCAATCTCTCCTCACGCTGCTCAATTTCCTCGTTAATCAAAAATGGAACGTGAAGACTTCCAAGCAAACCCGTGACACGCCCCTCACCGTCTTAAAAAATAATGTATAGGGATTGCATTTTCTATATACAAAATTCTATAAAGGAAAATTATTTAATTATTTACTCGTTTATGCAGTGAGAGACTGCCAGAATCCAGTTCACAGATAATTTGATTGTCATATTAACCATATGAAATTGTATAACAAAGACAATTCTCTACTCTGTACAAAACGCGACGCAGTTATTGAAAAGCCTTCCAATTAATATATATTTTAACAACTTTTTGTGAGACCACTCTTATCTATATTTAATCCGTATCCGTACTGTATGGAATTGATAATTTATAAAGTAGGTATAACATCCATCGTTGTAGTGTCTGTATAGTCTGTGTCAACAGATAAGAATACATAAATTCGTAAAGAAGCAATATAAGTTGGAAAACATCTATAAGTTTAACAAGTTATTTTAATTTAAAGGTTACTTTCAATAAAACTTTTCATACTGTCAAATAGTAGGTAGAAGATATCTTTGTTTTAAAAGAAAATGAAATAGACACTGAAATATGTCTGTCAGGACCATCAAGTTAAAACAGTTTAAAGAAAATTAAGCACCAGTCAGTCTGTACTGTGTTCCCTCATAGATGTTTCCACTCTTGCCTCTATTTTCCTCTTACCATATATCCCCACTCTATTTTTCTTTACTACCCCTTACTGTCCTACCCACTTCCTCTTTTATTTTTTAATGTAGTATTAAATTTATGTTATACATATGTTTTACGTCTACCATTGGTAGCAACCCATACCAATATAACCCCAATATTAACTTACCAACAGAAGTCTGGTTGAAGGCATTAAAATCTCCAGAGTCGTGTGCGTCAGCGCGTCGTCTCTGAGCGGCCGATACGTGCTTACTGACTTCCAGCTTCAAACTGTCATTCTCCATCTCCAGTAGGCCATACTCCATACGAAGCTTTTGGGTTTCCTTTGTAAATTTGATAAATGTGTAAAGTAATGGTGCACTTAGAATAAAATATGTTTGTGCCCTTTAGACTAAAATCTCCAAGACCAAATGAAGTAAACTAGAAAATCTTTGATTAATATTTAGAAAAAAAAATATCAAATTTTATTACAACATTTTGCTTATTTGGCAGTGACCCCAGTTCCACTGCCTGTGTAGAGGTTCTTACAACTTTAAACCAAGAATTTTATCATGTTCACTATCAATCTGACATATGAGTGATAAGAATAAATCATATAATGAATATTGAATGTTTCTGGTGCCTACATTAGGAATCAGACTGAATGTTTTATCTGGTAGGTCAAAAAAAAATAACTTTTAAAAATTTAGATCCCATGTTTAATGATAACTCTTCTTTCTTTCTTATCATATATATCCGTAGGACCACAAAAGTTATAAAGTGTCTTAGTTTGTGATATCTAATTTAATTTCTTTGTGGGATTAGATATTTTTATTTCTACATATAGGTGAAACTTACCAGTTCCAAATTATGTAACTTGTTGCCAAGTTGCTCAGTAATATTCAAGTCATCCACAGAACTAAGAGCATCCTCACTACCAATCTGTAAGTGATTTTTCTTATCTATATATGTTATAGTAAAATATAAGGCAAGTTCAGTTAATACAGAGCCATTTGAGAAAGGGTAAAGAAGTTATAAAAATTGAAAGATCTAAAATTTGGAAGTGGGAAAATTAAATTTTAAAGATTTAATACTAAATATACAAGAATATATGTCTGAATTCTAAATAGAAAAAATGTATAAGCCTTTCAATTTAGAGACACTATGTAATCATTAAGAATTATTGAATGTATAGATTATAAATGAAATATAATGCTATGCTTTTCTTTTATTTATAGTACCTTGAAATTTTACTAAAACATATTCACAATTAAAAATATTTTTCACTTAAAAATACATAATCAAGCTTCTTACCAAACTGCCACCTTCAGATAAAAAGTCACCATTGCAGCTGGCCAAACTTCCAGCTTGAACTTTGGCTGTCCCTTCAAGCTTCTCCTTACGGGCTTCCTCCAAAGCAAATTGTAGATCTTGATTCTTGTTCTTTAACTTAGCTATTTCACACTTATACCTACTCTCACATTCACTCATGTGACGATTGCAATCTTCTATTGATGCCTTCAATTGAGATATTTCAAATGTTTTATCAGATAGCTGCAAATAAATAGTTTTACTCACTCTAAACAGTGTTTATAATTTTTTTATCTAATCTTAACATAGATAAAAGAAAAAAGAACCTTAAAAGTAACTACCTGCTACTAAAACCACTCAGAAAAAAAAAAGTACCTGTGATGCATACTGAGCATTTTCAATAATTTTCTTTTGGAGCTCTTCCTGGAATAAACCTGCATCTAAATGTGCAGGACTGCTATTATTTACTACTTTATCATCTTTGCTTTTCGTTTTTTTTGTTGTTTTACTCTGTAATAAAAATATGTTTAGCTAGAAAATCTTGTTTATATTTATTACATAGTTAAGTTGGCTTATTGTCATAAAAAAATCTGTTTTTGAATTAAGTATGGCTAATTCCATACACCAATTTTGCTAACCAGTGTACTTGGTCTCAGATTTCTGTATTTTCCATTGATCCTTTCTACAATATTGGATATTTTACCGGCTTTTGTTCAATTTCATCTTGTAGAACGGATACTCGTCGTGTTAGTTGTTGATTCCTAAAAGAAAGTGAATCTATCTCCAATGCCCCTTTGCGCAACGATTTCTCCTTCTCTTTTAATACTTCTCGCAATTCATTTGTCTTAGCCTGTTCATCTAATACACCTTTTTTCAACACCTTAACATGAACTCGCAACTGTGAAGAAAACAAATAAATAATTGACTTATATATTCATGACACTACTGTATTCACTGCATTGTGTTAATGTAATTTTAACCTTTGAATATTCTGCAGCTAATTTTTGATATTTAGCCTGGATATCACCAGAAGGCAATCCTTCCATGTCTGTATTTTATATATTCATTACAAAAAGAAATTGCTATGAACTATAATATTACGTAGTGTGTTTTTTGCATTAGCTTATTAATTTATTATCGGAAAATCCACAATAATATTGACTTGAAAAAGTTTCATGAACACCCACTTTCTGAAATAACCAATGTCAATGTTGATATTTGATTAAAATATCAATTGTCAACACTCCACAGGCAAAATAATTAATTTATATGTGTAAGTACTTGCATATTGCCAAATGCCAACTAGACTAATGGCCGATTTACATTATCTTAGTGTTTAGGAGAGTGCTTTAGGATAGTACTTTAGTTGAAACATGTAAACGCTACTTGCTTTAGTACGGTTCTACTTGACTTTCAAGTTGAATCAAAATAGAATCGCTTTTTATTTTTGTTTAAGTGATACCCCTCCGCCCGCGCAACCCCGAGATCTTCCCTCGTTGTGTGTAAACTGTAAACACGTAATTTAGTAAAATCTTTAGGAGAGTGCACAAGTGCCGTGAAACGCGTGCGTGTTTTTTGATTTTTAAAGATGGCTAAATGGTCGGAAGATACAACTATCAAATTTGTGTCTGAATATGTTGTTCACGAATGTTTGTGAAACGTTAAAAACAATCTATACAAAAACAAACAGGCTAGGCATTCGGCATACACTGCCTTAAAAGAAGCTATTTTATTTATTATTTATATTTAGTTTATTTATTTCGAATAAAATCTCGTCTTCTATTTGTTCCATAACTGCAGTTAGTATTTTGCGTAGAATAGAGCGTATTTGCCGACGTCGTTGGGTCATGTGGCGCTGTAATGATACTCTATGGAAGAAATATAAACGTTCACTCGAACGACTAAAGATTTTCAATTTATAAAAATTAAAATAAAAAGAAGGAACTCATAGCTGCTACTAGATTTTAAGTATTATTTAGTATAGAAACGATAACGATTTTATATTACAACAATTACTATAAAATAAGTGGCGCAGTCAAAAAGTTTAAAGAAATTGATTTTGAAAGAATGAGCGTATGACGTATAGGTCTGTTATTTAAAGCTGGCGGCTTCAACACATTTACACTTTGTGCTTGTGTAGTGTCTGTGAATAAGCGCGAGGCGTAATGTCAAACTGAAATACAATCACTAATACATCATGAAAAGACTGTCCGTCTCTCTCGCGCTCGGTCAAGCTTATGAGTGTAAAAGTGACAGTTATTATTTTGCTTTTGCTACTGTTTATGTTGATCTTTACTGTACATGTTGATCTTTTTTCAAACATTACCAGGACAATCTCGTGAAATGGTGCACAATGTTTTTAATTATTTTAAGCATCTTAATAAAAACAGTTTAATGAAAAATTTTTTATTTTTAATTTGACATCAGATGCGACTGGGGTTTCTAAGAGGAGTATTGAAAGAATTGTTAGTGAAGTAAAAGTGAAGTGTAATGAGCTAGATGGAGCTTATGTCGAAAAATGAAAAATGATTTACACAAACTACTCTTTTACGTTCTTGGTCGGGCTTAGAACTTTTGGATCCACCCTCGTATGCACATAATATTTATATGTATTTGACATATTTTTATTTATTTACAACCCACCCAACCTTATTAAAACCAGAGTAGACTAAAATATATAGCTTGGCAAAAAAGTCATATTTTTAAACATACTGTATAAAAAAAAAAAAAAAAAAAAAAAAAAAAAAAAAAAAAAAAAAAAAAAAAAAAAAAAAAAAAAAAAAAAAAAAAAAAAAAAAAAAAAAAAAAAAAAAAAAAAAAAAAAAAAAAAAAAAAAAAAAAAAAAAAAAAAAAAAAAAAAAAAAAAAAAAAAAAAAAAAAAAAAAAAAAAAAAAAAAAAAAAAAAAAAAAAAAAAAAAAAAAAAAAAAAAAAAAAAAAAAAAAAAGTGAAATTGCATTAGTGTGAGTACTGTGAACGCGCCAGCTTTCGATAACCGACCTATACCCATACGTCCGACCTATCCTGATTCCTGATAATCTGTTATTATAGTTAGTTACTTATGGGTTGTCAGTTGTCAGATGACATAACCTTTGTATATCATTATAATATTGTAAATATCTGTGGACTTATTTTTTAAATAGCAACATTTTCTCTGTTGATGTGTCGTGAAATTGGTGATTGTCCGATCAAAAATATCAATATTTAGAATTTCATGAAAGAAATGCAATAAAAATAAACGTAATAAGAACATATTTGGACCAATATTAACACCTAATCATTTTAAAATAGAGACATGGATAACAGGTAAGGTTCTGACTTTGCAAATAGATTTGTAGCGCAACATAGTCAGAACAAAGTAAATTGTGATGGAAATCTGTAAATTTTCCGCAGGAACATGGATTCGAGCAGCTCTACCTATACAAATATTTCAAATGAACACCTTAAGATTATTATCCACATTGATGTAGACTGTTTTTATGCTCAAGTAGAGATGTTGCGGAAACCAGAGTTGCTTTCACAACCCCTCGGAATTCAACAGAAGAACATCGTCGTAACCAGTAATTATGAGGCCAGACAATATGGTATTAAAAAATGTATGCTAGTTAGTGAAGCACTGAAAGCATGTCCTAATTTAAAGTTAGTAAATGGCGAAGACTTACACAATTACAGAGCTGCTTCAAACAAAATATTTTCACTTTTACAAAACTGGAAAAGCCCTGTAGAAAAATTAGGAATGGATGAATACTTTATTGACGTCACAAATTTGGTTCAAGAAAAAATAAAAAGTACAAATTGTAGTAATCTTACATGCACCGGCCACTTGTACAGTGAACCTCAATTGGATTGTCCCTGTGGTTGTTACACAAGACTGAAAATAGCATCACAAATAGCTAGTGAAATACGACAAAAAATATTGGATGAATTAGGTTTTACTACTAGTGCAGGTGTTGCACACAACAAATTACTTGCCAAGCTTATATGTCCTTTACACAAGCCTAATGATCAGACAGTACTGTGCGCTGAGCATGCTTCTGACTTTATGGCCACTCTTCAAAGTGTCCGTGCTATCCCAAGTATTGGGTCCAAGACTACTGAAACACTCATTTCTCAAAACATAATCTCAGTCAGTGACTTACAGCAAGTGTCACTTGATGTTTTAAAAAAACATTTTAGTAGTGACATGGCAGTGCGATTAAAAAACTTGAGTTTTGGAGATGATAATACTCCAGTTAAACAAACAGGCAGGCCACAGAGCATAGGTTTAGAAGATAGCTTTAAAACTGTCAGTGTTAGAAGTGAAGTTGAAGAAAAGTTTACAGCACTATTACAAAGGCTGTTAATATTAGTTCGGGAAGATGGTCGCATTCCAGTTTCATTGAGAGTAACTTTAAGGAAAAAAGATGTAAAAAGGCTTAGCAGTCATAGAGAATCACGGCAGTGTCAAATTTCCCCATCCATTTTTACCATTAACAGTGGAATAGTAACTGTGACTGAAGCAGGGCAACAGAAACTGTTGACTATAATTATGAGATTATTTACTAAACTTATGGACTTATCAAAACCATTCCATTTGACATTAGTTGGCTTGGCATTTACAAAGTTTCAAGAACGAATGACTGGACGAAGTTCTATTGTTAATTATCTAATGAATGATTTATCAGTTCAGTCTGTTCTAAATATACAGAATGACTGTGAAACCTCGGCTTCTTTTATGGACTATTCAGCAGTTTCACCTAGTAGTAGTACCACAACAGATCTCTCAGATGCTGAAGTAGAGCCATCTCCTAAAAAACCTAAAAAGGTAAACTGGATAGCAAAAAGAAGATGTCTATCGAAAGAAGATGTTGCTTCACCAAGTAAACTTAAAGTAGGGGAACTGAGGTTAAATTCAAAAGAACTTGAAAAAGTTTCTGAACTAAGACTGAACTCCATGGACCGTTCTGTAACACCCAGAGCAAGCCCTGCAAAAGATAATTTATCTGATACATCGGATACAATGAAAGATATAGCAGAAGGTGGTAATTGTGAGGAATGTCCCAGTTATGTTGATAAGGAGGTATTCAATGCACTGCCAGATGACATGCAACAAGAACTTAAGTCTATGTGGAAAAATCCCTCCAATTCCGAGCTGCCTAGAGCAAGTGCTAGAAACATGAATAAATCAAAGCCAAACTCAATCTTGAAGTACTTTGTTCCACAGAAATAATATAATAATTTGCCTTGTAACTTAAGTGATAAGTGATGGTTTCTATTTTTTCAATCATAAAATTTATTAATCTGATCAAATACATGTTTATGTTATTTAAAGATTATTTTTATTTCATACATTACAATAAAATCCAAAGGTTATAACTGGCCATAATCATTTATTTTCTATATTTTTAACAGCTTCCAATGTCATAGAAGTTAATTCTGATAACTTGTGCACATTATTTAAATTTATGTTTAGAGAGTGTGCTAATTTACTATAGCACACAACATCAACATTCAATTGTAATCTAATTTTATCACCATCTGTTATTCCAGCAGTTTCACTGTTTTGTTGTGATGATAATTCTCTGATTTGTTTCAGTCTTCTTAGTGATTCTTCTGTCTTTTGAACAGATGTAAGAACATCTTCTACAAATTTACAATATCTGGAATGAAGTATTTGTTTTAATATAAAATTAACATAAAGTAATAACTTATAGTAATATAGAGTACTTACGATTCTGTCATTGTGTTAAATAGTGATTCAAAAATTTCAACCAAAAATGCATTATCCAGTCTTCTTTCAGAGTCTTCTCTAAAGTCCTTAATTGTCTTTATAATTAAATCAATATAAGTGCAAGGCTTTGTAGGTACACTTCTATTAGTTTTACGGTATAGCCGAGGTATATCACTTACTTGTTTCAACTGCATATTTAAATAATCAAATAATTCTTTGACCATACATGCTTTAATTATTGCTTTATTTTCATGGATAAGCTTTTCAGAGGTCAATATACTTTGCTTTATTAACATTTTAACCTTTTGGTTTGATACTTTGCTCTCTACATTCTGTATAAAGCTTGGCAACTTGTGTAGTAAAGTGAGAGTATCAACATATATATTTAAACAATCTGTTATAAGGCTTCTATTAACAGTCATTACATCCACATCTCTTGATTTCTAAAATAAATTTTAACATGTTTTAATAAAGAATAATTCTCTGCAATTAAATCCTCTAAATTTAACTCAATAAGTCTGTAGCAATATTGAATAGAAATTAAATAATAATTGCCAGTTCTTACTTGTGTACAGTATGATTTTATCCAAGAACAATATCTTGATAAAAGTTGTAGAGATAACTTCCAAAACTTGTGGGATAAAGCTTCAATAAAGATACCCTCTGACCAACAGTCTTGTAATGCCTTCCAACATTTGGATGTTTCTTCTAGCACAAATTCATTGTTGCTCTGTTGCACTGGTTTTAATTTCAAACTTGCTTCAAAGCCACCTAAAATTACAGATAGGCTATTTCATGAAAATATTTCCAGTTATTGTTACACAAAAATTAACATAATATACAATATTAGAGCCTGTACCTGCTATTTCTTGAAAACGTATTTGAAAGTAAACAGGGAGGTTCCACCTTCGTTGAAAACTTTTATACTCTGCTGTAGAATGTAGTAATTTAACAGTTTCATTGCAATGACAATATGTTTCAAGTTTCTTGATAAAATGCATACTTTCCGTGTAACGCCTATAAAATAACTGAGGATTTCCAGGTGCAAATATAGATGCAAGATTGACTTCTAAACGGTGTTCAATTTCACACCAAAAACAGTTAACTAAAAACCTAAATTTTTGCATTTGAAACGTTAACTTGGAATGTTGAGTTACTTTTAATAGCAACATCAGTTTTGTATCTAGTAAAGAGAATATTCTTTCAAATATCCCATTGAGGCCCTCTTTACTTCTTTGTAGAGAGGGCTCACTTATGATTTCTTGTAATAATGGGGCTACTGCTTGCTTTCTTATTAACATTTCTGTTTCTGTAATCCTATTTAATGATGTTAAAATCATCAGTGTTTTCAGTAAGTTGTCTTCATTTCTATCATTCCAAAATTGAAAGATTAGATCATTTAATATCTGAATTAGCCTGCTTCCAACTTCATTGTATTGCTTTTTATGTTGTGGTTTTGTTACACTATCACATTTTCCTATTGAAAATTTTAACTGATTATACTCCATAGCTGCTCTATCAGCTAAGATTATTTGTTCCTGTCGTGTCTTGTCTGTAATATCTTGTAGTATATTATCTAGAGAATTCAGGCAATTAATTGTTTGACTGTAAAACTTTAGCAGTTGTTTCTTTTTTATAAGAGCATGTCTTTGGTTTAACCACAATGACAATTCATGCATAGCTTCTTCAATAAATTTTTTTACGTCCTTGAAGAAAATGATCATTAAAGATACATGAATATTTCATGAAAGAATAAGGATAGATAGTACTACTTACTTCAACTTCCTCATGTAATTGACCTAACGGGGCTTGAATTTTAACGATTGTTTTATCAAAACCAATTAATGTAGCACATAGATTAACGAAGTTGGCATAATCCTTGTTTATAAGCTCTATCATCGCGAATCGTAACACTTTTAGGTACACGCCCAAATCGTCACGCATAGTTTCTAAGGAGGCCACATCTTTATGTTCAGCCAAGAATGTATCCACTGAAAAGTTAGTCTGTAATATAAAAACACAATATACAATACAATCTAGTCAAAGAATTAACGCTGAAGCCGATAAACTGATTAGAATAAAAAAGTACCTTGACGAAATCATTTCGGTCAAAACACAATCCTCGTGGAGCTGGCGGAAGCGTAAACTCTATTATATCTCTCTCCATAACTTTATCTTTACGTATATTGCAATTAAGGCACCATTATTTATTAGGAACGGATTAAAATGTTTATTTAAAATCGTCCCTGCACTCGGTAATTTGTAATCATTTTGACAGCACTGACGTAAGCTTGACACATCATCCGACTTAAAAATAGTAATGCCAACTCCTACATAATGTTTTCCCTAGAACCAGCTTCAAATACATATAAATATCGATTAAAAACCCCTAAAGTTTTTCTTGTACACTTGGTTTAAGAGGTACTTTTAAATTATTAGTTGGGTTCAAACCTTAATATAAATTGTATGGAATCGTGTATATTTTTTCTTGAATAAGTACCCCCTAAATAAATGTATCTTAAAAATCCGCCTTTGCATCTGGATTCCATTGATAAATTTGGGGAGAAAATGCCAGGTTGGCATCACTGGTTAAACATCACATAGGACTCCCACACAAAACTGCGATGCGATGCGAATTCGCAACTTTCAATCATCAATTTCTGCGATACGATTTAGTGCGGCAAACCATTTTGTAGGGCGACCATTCCTTCGTAGTCAGCCGTACTGGACGTGTTTTTAGGAAGCGTAAGATGGATCGCAAAAAGATTATTGCACTGCTGTTTAATAGATATAAAAGAAAAAGAAGATTCTGGGTTCATCCATTTATTACGATTATGAACTCTGATGCAAACTTTCACAAACGCATCTTGCTTAATAAATTTATTTTTATAATGTTCATCACTTGTGTCCCAAAGGACCGGACGCTCCTCAATTAAAAATATTAAAAAATCCATATCATATTCCGCAATTTTTTATAAACAAAGAAGGCGGCGGAGGCGCCGCGCGTCTTTCTCTAAAGCTGTTTCGAGCGGACTAAAATGGCGTCACCAAGGATGACGTAATATCGCAAGAATGTGCGATGCGAAGAAGATCGGAACTTCTTGCGGTGCGTTCGTGCGAATTCGCAGATATTTGCGATGCGATGCGAATTCGCAGTTTTGTGTGGGAGCCCTTAACCAGAATATTTTTAAAAAGAGAGTGAAGAAATCTCGAATACGTATATACCTATTAAAAATATTTTATTCACTTAAAACACAAAATGTAAATGTAAACTAATGACACCGAATTGAGTATAGGCCAAGTCCGGCCCGTACGTGCAAGGTGTTGTACTATGTGGGCTGCTAGCATCCACTCGAATAGCTTGCCTGCTTTATTTAATAAAACAATTTGGCCTAGTAAGAGAATTCCGACTTCCAGCAGCAGGGAAGTTGAGATTCTGTACAATGTGGGTTAGCATCTCCCGAAACTGCTCTTCCAATCCGTTGTTAAAAGAGTATGTACCCAGACCTGACCGTGAACGCCATCTGCTCCGAAACTGTATTTTTGCTCTGAAGCTTTAGTACAGCCGCTGTGTGTTCCTCGGGCGTCACTCTTTGGATTTCCTCTTCACCGCGAGATATTGGTCGTGGGGGTGAGCAGTATGGTCCAGGGACGCACCTTACTCATCACTAGCTTATGTGGCCATGGGTCACCAAAGTTTGTAGAAGATTTTCCCACGCTTTCACTTTGGGCTCTCCGATTGCAATGCGCAGTGTTTTTCTTTCTTCTACTTCTTTCTTCTTTCGGTACCTCTGTAGCATGGCTTCTTCGATGTTATCGATGTCGACGCGTCGGACAGCTACACAAGCCGTCCTAACTGGGTGATCGCAGGTGACTAGTACACCTATCGGTGGGGCGGAATAAGGCGGATCCTTGCAAATTACTTCTGGTCGTCACTAACATGCTGCAAAACCTCTTCGAACCATTCCACCTCTCTCTCTGCTGTGATGTTATTCGGTTTAGGGCACCACGCCTCTGCCAAAGAGGCCAAAGACAGAGAGACCCAATATTTTTTTTTATGGGACCATTTTGCCCCTATCTTCTGGTGGAGGTTGTTGTGATCTAACAGTTGTCGGTGGGGACTCAAGAATATAGAATATTTGTATTTTTGTATGTTTTATGAGGATAAACAAAAAATACTGAACTTATTTCAAGAAACAAATAATGTAGGTATTAAAGTATTTAACTAGATAATTTGTAATGTTATTAAATTAATTAGGATTGTTTTGTTGTTGTGTGATTAGCAGATACTTTGTTATAAAATATGTGGTATTGAAAACGTGTAATCAGCCATGCCTTAAATTGCCATATTATCCTAATTGAGCATAGTTATGAAAATGTAATCGAACAATAATATCTACTTAATTTCCCCTATTGGTTTTGTAACTTAGAACTTACACACACGTATATTTAAGTTTTTGCGTATATAAAACTAAAAATTTGAGTCCGAACTGTCTTTTTACCTACACAGGATGACAAAACTTACAAATTTATTTCTAAACAGAGCCCAACACGTTATGAAATATCTAGGCGTTTGGGTTCCAAATGAAAGCGACACAATTTATCGAAAGTTATATAAAATATTTATGCTTTCTTTGCAATACACGTTCTTGTTATTTCAAATGATTTTTGTGGTCCAGGCGTGGGGTGATTTGGAGGCAGTAGCTGATGCTGTTTACTTGCTGTTTACTCAGGCTAGTTTATGCTGTAAAATCGCAATTTTTCATATAAATATTGAAGGCGTAAGAGAATTATGTCAGCAAATGAACAATGAAGTGTTTCGGCCTACGAGCGTCGTACACGAACGGTAAATTTTAGTATTATGTATAATGTTTCATTACATTGATTGTGGAAGAGAAAATATGGACTTTGAAATCTACGTGTTAAAATTTTCAATAAACAATAAACACGTCTAATTGTAGAAAGAACAGTAATATTTTTCCTTAAATAAATTCATAGATAAAATGAATATTAATTTTGGGTGGCTGGATTATAACTTGTTCTTTTTAATATATAGCTTCTTCTTAGAATACTACAAATACGGGCAAAGAATATAAAGCGACTGCTGCTGTGTTTTATTGTAGCGGCAGAGATGATTTGTTTGGCATGGGGTGTGGCGGCACTCCCATTATTTGATAATGGGTCAAGAAAATTTCCTTTTGTCATGTGGTAAGGTCTCATAGTCGCAAGATTTTGGGTAGGTTTTTTGAAGTTATACTTCTTTAGGCGCGTTATGAAAAATTTATGCGCGCGAATTGGTACGATGCGCGCGCACCGTGACACAAAATTATCAGTATGGGCGCCGAGCGTGCGCGAGCGAGATGGGAATAAGACAATGTACAAGTATAAAGAAATAGAATATGCGTGACGTTAGCAGCTATGCCAAGAATTTTGAATGACCATAATGACATTTGTAGTACCTTTTAAACAAATAAAGGAGTTTTAATTATTTTTTCAAAGAAATTTAGCAATGCTGTTTCACAAAGACCTATTGTTACTTAGTTAAAAGGTTATGAAACATACCTAGTTATTAAATTGAATTAATAATATAATAAAATAATTATTATTATTAATATTAATTAATAATTATAATTAATTATAAACTAAATATTAAATATTGTTAAATTATTAACGCTAAATATTTATTATTAATTATTTAATATTTAAAAAAAATAAAGAAAGCCAAAGAAGTATAACTTCTTACGCGCGTACATAAGTACACGCACCATTTTTTTAATTGTGCCCTTACTGAGACATCATAGAACATTGCGATTTAGCCTACTAATAATGATATTGGTACCGATTTAGCCGTAGCGGCTAAGGCTGGTCCAACAAGTCCAACAACAAAAAGCCGGAGCTGTCCAAAAAACCTATTATTATCTATTGTTAGGTAAGGTTAGGTAATATTTATTTTTGTTTTTTTATTTAATTACTGTTTCCGGCGCGTGGAAGTAGTTGGGGTGATAAATTAACTACCCCTCTTTCAACCCCCCCTCGCAACCACCAATTCGGGTGACGTATTTCTAAATCCAACCCCTAACGTAAACAACCACTAATTCAAATGGTTTTGTCCTTTTCAATCTTCTCACTAGGCCCGTGGCGTAAAGAAGTTGCATAGCCTCGACATTCACCTGATGGTGGAGCCTTTGCTCGTGGGCTTCAGCAATCTTTTTGATTATTATGGCGAAATCCTCTACTCTCTAATCTATCCCTTAATGGTCTCAATTGAGGTCGTTACTAGGATTTTTTTTTTTGGTTAAGTAATGGAATAATTAAAACTTTTAAAGAATTTTTTCATGAATAGCAAAGTGACACAAACCGCTGAAGACTTCAGATGCAAAATTATCATTACAATAGATTTACTCGTAATTTTAACAAAAATCATAAAATCATTTTTCATCTCAGGATGCCGGTGAACACTGATTCTAGTCCACAATATGAAATCGGTTTCTTGTTTCAAGAATTAACAATTTCCACCAGTGCGATGATGTACTACGGAGTTGACAGTGTTGCATTTTCAACGGTTATATTTGCGTGTGCGCAGATGGAGATTATTATGGAAAAGATTTTAAGTGTGAGTAAGCGTTTACTTAGTTACTGCATGCATTGCACATGGCTCATAGATTCAGAGTCAATTTCAGTGGATTGATAATTGTATCTTAGTATTGAAGGAATATTATCTTAAATATTATAACGAGATCTCGCTCGTTGCTAGTAATATTCTTCATTTCGAGTTTCGCCAGCTTTAATTAGATAAGTTTTAAGAAGAATGTATTTTAGTTTAATTTCCGTACACTACATATTTGTAGATTGAGTCCCGCAATGACGCAGTTCTAAAAAATGTACCATCTTTAACGAAACATTACTTTAATGGAAACAAAATTCTAATAGAATGCGTGAAACACTATCAAGCAGTTATAACGTAAGTGAAGAGTAAATTTCGGAATTTATTACATTTTTAGCTTACCTAAAACCTTTAAAATAATATTATTTACGTTATTAAAAATCATGAAGTACGTACGTACGTACCCATGTTAGCGAAATTTGCTAAACATGGGTACGGACAAATGATAAAATATTTAACTCCATATGTTTTTTTCATGTCATGAAAATTGTCACTATTCAGTCAAACATTGTGTGCCCTCAAGACTGATAATTAAGTTCACGTAGCGCTTCACATTTCAGTATCAGAATCATTATTTAGGCCTACCCACACAGCTGTGCGAAGTTTTCTATTTTTGGTACGCAAGTTCAAATTTACATGAAACTTATTTAACACATATCACATTATAATTGACGTTAAACGAGCGCTTAGTGTAAATCTAATTACGTTTCTCTCCTCCAACTTCGATTTTGTTTCCCTTTGGAGCAGAGACCCTTGGGGTTCAAGTATACAGGCGCTAATTAAAGATTTTAGTTGGCACCTGGTAGATAGTACCGGTGACCCCAGAGCTGGTGCTTTTCTCGCTCAACGAATATGTATCGCAATACAGTGAGGAAATGCTGCCACAGGGTCCTAACTTTTATATTTGTTTTAATTTTATTATTTTCTTTTTATTATTTATATAAATATAAATAATAATTTCTTATATAGGTCTTTTTATTATTTATATAAATATAAATAATAAAAAGACCTATATAAGAGTTAAGAAAATTGTAAATACCGTATAATTGATTGTTATGATTACGTTTTATTTTAGCTTTGTTATACTTATATTTTTAGGTTCAAAGAGTTAGTGGAGAACACCTTTCACATTTATATGTTCTTTCAATTGACCGGCACTGTTGGTATTATAGTGATGAGTGCGTTTCGCATTTTGGTAGTAAGTCCTTCATTTGTATTAAGTACTTGAATACTTTACGGTTGTGTCTTATTATAAATTTACAACTATTTAACATTTTTAAATTATCCGACTTCGTGCTACAGTGTGTAAATATAAAATGCTTAGTTTTCTTAAATTATATGTAAATCAAAGACAATACTACTTGAATACTTTGTCTTATATTTTGCACTTTTAACATTTACTTAATATAAAATGGTATGAAGATCAAGCGGGCTATTCGATCTCGTACCTACATGTCATACCGTTTAATTATTCCGTATATATATTAATGCATTTTAATGATATTTCTGTTTTAAAAGTATTTGGAATTTTAATTGTGTCTATTAATTTCCAGCTAGAAAGTGAAAGATTTCAATTTATTTCAACCATAATATATGTCATTGTTATGGTAAGTCAGATATATCTTTGCTGTTGGTGTGGTCATGAACTGACTGCTACGGTAAGTGAAACATGAAAGCACTTCGTAGATTTTGAACGTAAATCGTTACGGTTCGGTGCTTGGTTGATCAGAATTTAATTACATAAACTCATTATTAAAATATCAATATTATGGAAAAACTCGAACACTGAACTCTGAGGAAGGGTTTTATGGAGAGAAAATTGGGAAAATATAACAAAGAATTGGAAAATTTATTTTTGATTTAGTTAGATTTCTTTCCGGAAAAGAGAACAGATTCTTTGGTGTAGCATAGCAGAATTATCCAAATGTTGGTATGTAACTACTAAAAAGGTTGGCTAAATAAAAAATTAAAGGCGATACGAAGTGCGAGGGGGCAGCTTTTAATGCAATTGACGAAACACGTAACGTACTTCATGTTCATATTAACATTTTATATTTTCATCTTTAAACTTTATGTTACTTTATAGAATGAAAAGCTACACAGAGTCCTATATATGAGTCTATGGTATGAGCAGGATGTGAAGTTTCAGCGTGCTCTATGCTTCACGATGGCTCGAACACAACGGCCATTGGTCCTTCGAGCCGGGCACTATATTAGTTTGTCGCGACAAACATTTGTTGCTGTAAGAAAAATTTAATCATTATACAACTTTTTATTTAAATGCTCGCATTCAATACATATTATTACAAATTTTAACGTACGGAACGACACCTTCAAATTACAATTTTTTTTATTTCAGATACTTCGCATGTCGTACTCTTACATCGCAGTTCTAAATCAAACCATGTAATTGAAGAATTATGAATATTGTAGAGTGGATTCGGAAATTACAGATAATTATTAAAGTTATACCTAAAATTGGCAGTCTATGAGTTGGTAAACAAAACCCATTAGGTAGTTGTTTTGAAATAGGGGATAATTGCTTCATACAGCATGTTTTATATTTCCGTTATTATCGTTTTCACAAGTAGAACTAGCAAAATGCATAGCTACTTGGATGCCGTTGGATGGCAACAAATTATGAAAAGAAATATCTATTTTATTAATAAACAATATTTACAAAAACACTGTCAATGGATAAGATGATTCATTGGTTAGATATATTTGCGACAGTAGTTTGTTTATGCAATTCAAAAAGCAGCTATTTCTAAATCAATAAAATATATAAATTTTATAAAACATAAGTCTGGAATGATCGAAAATTTTATCAAACTATCTACTGTAATTGTAAATACATCCTGTTTGTGCACCTATTAACTTGCCGATTCAAAGTTTGCCAACCACTTTGGAGGTCTGACTATATAAAAACGTGTGCCTTGTGATTTATGATTTTAGAAAATGATAAATAGCACTGACATGTTCTTAGGTCGGCCACGATTTATTTTACATTATCTGGGGATTTGGCCTCCACCAGGAGAATATAAAATTCTGCGCAATATTTACAAGTTCCTTGTTATGCTTACTCAGTTTTCTTTTATTTTCTTGGAATTTATATATATAGCTGTCGTGTGGGGTGATATAGATGAAGTTTCTGAAGCTTCGTACTTACTCTTCACCCAGGCGTCGGTTTGTTATAAAACAATGGTTTTTATGATGAATAAAAATAATTTAAAAAAACTTATTAGTTTCATGGAGGTGGGAATATTTGCACCGCAGACTGTAGCACATGAAAAGTAAGTTATTTTTTTACTCTGCCACAGGGACCTTCCTGTGTTTTTTTAAGTTTTTACAATTTTATTCTGACTACCCATTAATGCCGAAATAACTAGATTTCCGTTTTTATAATAAATAAAAAAGTGTCATCATTTTTGTGCATTATATTAGGGTTTTTTTAACTCTCTTTAAAAATTTCTATAGAATATTGTCGGCGCAAGCAAGAAAAATACGAAATCTTAGTGCAGTATTCTTGACGAGTGCCATCACAACATGCACGCTGTGGGCTGTAATGCCTTTATTTGATACCGCTGAAACGAGATTCTTTCCTTTTAAAATTTGGTAAGTACCACAAGTAGTTATTGCAATTAAAAAACTTTAATGACGTGTTTTCATAAATAACTTTGTATATTTTCTTATAATAAGTAATATAACGCAACAAAATAATATTGTAACCAAACTCAATAATTCAATTATATTAAATTACTACTACGATTGGAAATTTTTATCTTCTTTCCCACAGGATGCCGATAAATACAGAAAAATCTCCTCATTATGAAATCGGATACTTGTACCAAGTAATTAGTATTTACATTAGTGCGTTGTTGTTTTGTGCAGTGGATAGCAGCACCCTTTCAATGATCATGTTTGGATGTGCGGAACTTGAGATTATTATTGATAAAATACAAAAGGTATCCTTATAAACTTTAATTGATCAATTGGTTGAATGATGATTAAAAGTAGGTAAAATTTTATTAGAACCAATAATAGTAGATCCACGTTGTAACATAGGTGGCGCTTGTTTGATAGTTCACATTAACGTTGAGAGATAGCGTTGTTCGTTTTAAATCAAATTGTAAAAGCCGGTATAATTGTGTTTCGTCTTTGGCTTAACTACATTAAGTTTTTATCAATCAGTATAAGCCGTCCAAAAAACCAAATATAATTCAAAATCAAAAATTTTCGAAGTACGGCCGCGATCGGCCTGCATTAATATCATCACCATTAAGCATTAAGTATTAATTTTTTACTAGTAAATGATGGTACCGGACCCGGTATCGTCAATGGTGATCATATTGTCTTGGTTATTGCCCTCATTACTCATTAGTTATTAGCTGAATAAAGTACAATTGAATACTGAATAGTGAATAGGTGATTTATAATTTATATGGATTAAATATAATGCTTCTTTTAGATTCGCGATATACCAATCTCGAGAGTAAACAAATCGGATTGCAGAAAAAGACTTACAGAGAACAATAAACTGTTTATGGAATGTGTTCGACACCATCAGTGTGTAGTTAAGTAAGAATTTCATTACATTTATTGACACGTAGCGGTTAACTGTCCCGAAACAGTTTTTTTTTGAATTGTAATAAAAAATAAAACAGTTTAGTTTTCTAAATTTAGTTGCCTTTCAGATTTATCGAATTAGTAGAAGACACGTACCACGCTAACATTTTCTTCCAGCTAAGTGGAAGCGTGGGAATTATCTGCATTATTGGGTTAAGAATTGTTATGGTATGTTTCAAAAATCATTAGTAAGACGAAAGAACTTAACCTGAGACAATTTTCACATTAACTTATTTAAAGTACCCAAACCGGAAAAGTGCGAAAAATAAAGCGAAACTTTTATTTAGTAGTATTATTTACGCTATTATTTGTCTGAATTCTTGTAGTCTCCAACGGGGCATGAGGCAGACAAAGTTTTGAATTTCGTTCATAATACTGTTTGTTTGTTACTGAAACAATTCTTGTTTCGCTTGGAATCTTAGGACATCCGGAATAACGGACGAGCGTTAAGTGGACAGCTAAATTAATTGTTTGTAGTTACAATGACATCGGCACTTTTTGCTTTTCAGACTGAACCAAGTAGCGTACAATTTTATTCGATGCTAAATTATATGTTAACAATTCTATCACAGTTATTCTTGTATTGTTGGTGTGGCAACGAACTGACTTCTATGGTATGTTTTACTATTAACAATTCATATTAAGAATCCAACATTTTACCCAATATCTCACGTGTTTTCGCGTTTACTAAACAGAGAGCGCAATAACTCATCCAAAAAGTAAACATCCGTTAATTCGCGGACATATTTGTCTATTTCATTAATCATTCTTTGGGATAATCGCATAAACGCCAGTCATGCATGAATCAACTGAATATTGGGTGTGGTCAAAGCCCCCGATATTACTGAGCCACTTCGTTCACGAAGGTCACCTCTGCCACGGGAACCGAGTGAAATCGTTGGGCCATTGTTGTTGGCCATATATTCGGGATTATATCTATCCTACAATCTGTGTCTACGAATCACAACGATGACGTCCCTGAAAAGCGCCATTTATTCCAGCCGCTAAGGCCTTCGGGCCGGACAGTCAGTGGTTAGACTGGTCGTGGATCCTCCCTTTAGGCTGAAAGAACAGTACACCAGCCTTCCTCCACACGAGCATTCGTACGCTATATTCTATTCTAACGAAGCTTTTACAGAGTCAAAATCTACGCGAATTTCTATATTTGTGCCCATGGTACGAGCAGAATATACAATTCCGTCGCTCGCTGATTATCGCAATGGAGAGAATGAAGAGGCCTATCATATTCAAAGCCGGCCGTTACATACCTCTTTCACGACCTACTTTCGTATCCGTGAGTATTATCATCTATTAAATTGAGATAGCTTTATAATCACTATAAACCTTTAGAACAAATACCTGGGTGCATTTTCTCGACAAACCGATGACATTTGGACTTCTATCTAGATTTTATAGAAATACTAGCTGCCCCCGCGAACTTCGTTTCTACTTAATGTGATTTTACTTAGCCTACCTTTTTAGTACATAATAAAAAATAAGGGGTTGATCGTAGAGGGCTGAAAATTTAGGGTTGTATGTATTTTTTAAAGCCACATAATAATAAAAATATATTTTTTTGAGGTGGACACCCCTTATCGCTTAGGGGTTTGAAATATAGATAGTAGCCGATTCTCAGACTTACCGAATATGCATAAAAAAATTTCATAAGAATCGGTCGAGCAGTTTCGGAGTATGGGTTACAGTACAAGGTTTCTGTTTTTCAGATTTTGCGTTCGTCATACTCTTATTTCGCCGTTTTAAATCAGACAAAGAAGTAATTGTTACGAAGCAATAAATAAGGGAAGAATTTCAAATTAATTTAATACAAAATTACAACAATCATGTTAGTATTATAATATGCGATCCATTCTAGCTTTCATTAGTGCAGGATTTTCACATAGACACCCGTACCATCAGCGACTTAGTAAATCTAATATATCACTGTAGGATCGGAGATCTTTAGCCGGTGTTTCTTGTATAAATTGCTAAATAATCAAATACAGAGCAGTGACCTCTTACAGGAAATTACAATTGTCGTCCCAACATCTAGTCAGGAAAATTCGAATTCCTTTTGCAAAAACCAACATAGGATTTCAGGCACTTTTCGTACGAATTCTTCGCAATTTTAACGGATTAAACAGTACTTATCCGGAGCTGGATATATTCGGTAGTGGGCTGATCGGCTTTAAAGAAAGCATTATTAAGTGCCTATCTCGAACCTAATTCGCAGTTTTTCTGGTAATTTTTTTGTGCTTAACAAAAATTTCTCCTATTTTAATTCTTTTTTGTAACATTTATGTTTAGCTAAATTGTCATACATTTTAGATAAAAGAGTTTGTAACATAATACCGTAGATTTAGTACTATGTATGTGGTAAACTTTAATAAATAAATAAAACACAAATCCACAAATTAATCGTTTATTATCAATAAACGGTGTATCACATACGCGTAGTGTGTAAGACGTTAGGCGAGTGCTTAAAGTTAAGTTTACGAAAAATTATGAAAAAATACACATTTCTCTCAACATTACGCAACTGCTTAAGATTAGAGATTAAGTCAAGATATAAATTCGTGCGTTAAATTAAAATATTGTTAGCGCAAGAGCATCGATATTTTTTAATTACAACCTTTACAAGATTCAAACAATTTCGAAACATTAAATATTATTGATAAAGATCGTAAGATTGCAATTAGTCAACCCTTTGATATCGTTGTTGGATGTTTAGACAATTTAAAGGTTATATTGAAATATGATTTTTAAAAGACCCCTTTTCACATGTAATGAGCATTAATTTAAAGCAACTATCAGTCGAATATTTGATATAAAGCTCACAATACTGACGCAGACATAAGTATAAAGCTGTCTCTTGTTTCGTGTCAATGGCTCGAAACTAGATACTTGAAAATCTTAATACGGAGTCGAGACAATTGACTCCTATACGTCAAAATCCGTTACGTTTTTGACATTCGGGAGTCGTACTTATCAGTCTCCATGTTACTCCGACAAGCGAACAGTTTTTTTTAATATGTCAACGTGAGGCGGTTACAATATTAGTACGTTGAATATGAATAAATAGCCGATTTATTTCATATATATATACAGATACCGGCAAACATCTTGAACAAATGTCCCTGTCCATGCACAGAAGCGATTTTTAGGTATCACTGGGCGAGGGGTGGTGCGCGGCGGCGGGAGAGTGACATGATTGGTAAATCAGTTGACGTTTGTGAACCCGGCACTGCGCAAACTTTCCCCCACTCCCTTGTTTAATGTCCAAGATTTTTGCCGGTATCTGTACTAGTTCGTAGGTAAGACGGCTTAATAAGAATTTTTGTAAGTACCGCCTGTCAAGTAGTGGTTGGCCTGTAGTGTAGTAGTCTTGAAAGCGTTCAGTGTTCAGTACAACAAACACTCTTTTAAAACTGACATACAATATTAATAGTATTATTTTCAAGGGTTTGCAAAAACCAATGAAAAATGGCAACACAAAGCGTAGGAGACGCCGCCACTAAACCGTGCTTGACAGCCTTTACCATCAATTATATCAATAAATTTGTAATTATATGGAAGTGAATAAAACAACCAATATTGCTTGATCTTGGTATACAGTTCATAGCATAATTTCAACTTTAAGGCAATGACTTATTATCTAAATCACAGCAATTACGATATAGATAAAGGCAAATATAATAAATGTATAAAAACCAAAATAAAATTACAGACATCCAAATAGTTTTGCGCCTACGTTCGATTTTCAAACAACAATTAGTAAGTTCGTTAAAGCAACTTTTTGGTTGTAATATTTTTAGTTTTGACAATGACATTTACACGTCAATTGCAGCACTTAGACAGTGACAAATACAATTATACGCAAAATGTTAAATGTGTTTTATTTAATTTCACTAGACAAAAAGAAACACCATCAACAGATTACAAATCGTATTTTTCTGATTGTGCGGTATTATGAACTTGTGAAACTGGTTGGTGAATTTTATCAATAGAAAATTCATTTAAAAACTTCAGCGACACAGCCCTTGAAGTCTAATGTATTAACAATGTCTCTTACATACACCAAACGCGATATTAAAATGCAACATAACTTTACTTAGCATAAATTAATACAATTAAAATGGCAATAAAATAGATAACATACAAAATTCACAACAATTCGGAATAAAAAATTCGAATAACCACAACCAATATTAAACAATTTCAACTCGCCTAGAATACGAAGACATAGAGAATGTACTTGGCTATACGAAAGAAAAATGTTATATACATCTCTTTCTTTTAATTAACGTTAGAAAGGGACACCACGATGTAATCCATTACAAGAACCACCCAGTTCATTCTCCACATACAATATTCATGCTGGAATTAGCTCTAAAAAGGCAATATTAAAAATATTCATACAAATACATAACATTAAAGTGTAAATTCCGTAAGTATATTCCTTTACATTTGTTATTACCAATTGCAGAATAAATGGTCACTTTGGTGATAGAACTAATAGATTGTGTTCTAAAATAATAATTATACATAGCGCGAACAAAATCCTATATATTTTTGACATCGACCCTAAAACCATGGAATATATAAAGGGACATTAATTTTTACTAGCAGTTTTTTTCATATAATTAAGGGACAAACGAAAGGCAGTCACATCAGCCTATGGACACATATGAATGGGTGCGTAGGAGGAAGGAGTAAGCTTTCCTCTTATACTGGACCTCTACCGGAGCCGATTCCACAGATTGCAAACATTATTTTACAGATATGAAAAACTAAAAAGTATGTCCAATTACATCACTACTACAATAACGTTCTATCTTTATAATAAAACCAGCAACACATTCCCTAATACATGCTCTACGCGTATGAACGTTACCTAATATAAAAATACCTACCATATAGAACTGGATTAAGACTATGAGTTAAATCATATGAAATTACTGTGCGCCTCACTTATGAGAAAAACATTTGACACGAAATTTGGTCAAATGTTACGTAAAAAAAACTTTAGCAAATAGCGCATCTTTTAATACTGGACAACTTACCAGGCCCTATTGGAGGTTGAAGTAGTTTACGCAATAATTTTGCCTCTAGTCTGGTCAAATTAGTACAGTTTTGAGGAACATCATTTTAATAGCAACGCAATATAGACCTATTATAGTTTGCATAAGGTTCATTTTGTTTTGTTGTAATGCCTCAACATAAGTTAAAGCGCACGTGACTTCATATAAAGCTACAAGTATTTTGGCTTAAATATTGGCTAGCGATTAAAATTATACATATGTCATCAACATTCTACACTCGAGTTTATATCATAAATATGGAAAATTATACGGGTTGGTAACTATTTTTTTAAATTAATGTCAAAGCATAAACAATACCTTAAAAATTTATTAATGAGGTTTATAGGTTTTGTTTGGTATAAAATTTCCTGGTTGAAAAAAAAGTATATAATTTTTGACACGTTCCTTTTTTAAACAGTTCAATAGAATTCAAATAAGGAATGGAATGATTGTAATGGTCTTTTCTAATCTAAACAAAATTACACCGCCCCAATGGCACACAATAGTAGTTATATTACAAATTATTAATATGAAAATATATCTTCGTTACACAGAACTAAATGCTTCATTTGAGCAACTGACAACTATGGGAAGCGGTTTACCCGTTCTGTCTTTTGTATTCATAAGAGATGCAGCATAGTATATTAGAAAAATAAAATGCCATAAAAACTATACGGATATTCACAAACACAAAAAAATCATGTAAAAATTGTGCAGATAACAAGAAAAAAGCAAATATAAATTAAAATGAATTTTACAGCAATAACAAAATAATAATAACGCTAAACTTGCAACACCTGTGTGAGCAAAGAGTATAGAGCAAATTTTATGTAGAAGTCCCCTTTTAGTAATATGCAGGTGAATTTGTTCGACTGAACATTTACTTTGAAACTTCAAACAATATTTCTAAAATTGAGATATAAACTCCTTTTTAAACATTATTCGAATGATAAAAATATTAATTATTAGGTATTATACAATTTAATATCATAATAAAATGAAATTGTATTCCTCTAACTTGAATACTCGATGAAAACCGATATTGACATATTGACAAACGTAACTCGAGATACCTATTAAAATACAGGCCTTAAAAATGTTATTTTTTTTTAAAACACATATTTCATAACTTAAATACATTCATAAAAACATAATACGTAGATTCGTCCTAATTTTCTTCAGGAATCATTAAACAATTTATTTAAAGCAAATTAATTCCCAATAATCATTCAAATTATCTACAAATTCATTTAATTCTCATATAAGTTTCATTAATTGTGCGTAATTCATTATAATCATACTGAATAAAAATACTGTCGTCTCCCTTTAATTTACGCGATATATATTGTTAAAGCGAGATGCATGTTTCTAACATCGACCATGATATAAATATTTCGGAAATAGCCAAAAGGATGAAGAATTCAGAAGAGGAAATTTCTAAGACCTATTAAGGAATTTAATGGCATCCTTTTGGACGGGATCACAATATAACCCGACTGAATAGAAAAGGTGTACAACGAAAGCATCTACAACATTAAAAGCGACTTCTTCATTCAGCCGTATTACATCTTAGGAGCTATTCTATTAACTACATTGAATTGGTATGGCCATACATCTGGCTGATTGAACTACGAAACCCCTGACTAGACCAGTTTAAATTAAACTTTATACTTCAATAATAATCAAATGTCAAAACAATTATTGAAATTAATGGAATTGATGGGCATTTGAGCGACATTAATAAAATTTACAACAAAATTCATTCATCTTACGCAACCTTATTGATCCGACGCTTCTGAAATCGCCTTACGATCCTTGTATAAAATAGTACCTGTAATATGTTTATTAAAAACATTTACTGATGGTCTTGTTCATACGTACTATAAGCCTTACTTAATTAAACATTGTTTTGTTAATTGTCATTCGACAAGTTTTAATTTTAAATGGGTAAAGATATTTCAATTTGTAGCAGGTATCACGTTGCAAATACATAAATGAAACAAAAAAATTGGTTGTCTCTAAAGTCGGTTTACCGACGACAGTTTAAGGTGACAACGTCATAAAAAACATTGATAAAATAATTGCATACTTTTATGAATAAAATTGAATCATTTTTATAGAATTATCACTATTTTGTATGGACGCATAGACCAATCGAGTGGAAGAGAGATAGATGGCGCAAGCGTACAATGAGCGTAACGGGACAATGAGTCATGCTTTTTCGTGCGTGCGGCCGGCGTTCATCGATTTATTAGACGTTGTCACGTCAAAATTACTTAAGTAATTGAAGTTTAGATTATGTATTATTATAATTATTTTATATAATTACCGCGCGCGTGCTTTACAGCGTCAGGTCACGGTGACTGAAGACAAACGGTGTTGAACGTTAAAAAGTATCACAGCTGTAGAAAGAGTTATTAACTTATATTTATAAGTTTATAATAATACATAGCTTCAATCCGTTAAAAAAAAGTGTTTTCTTTAAATGTGTAAAAGTTATGTTAAAAAAGACAATCTTTCACATGGATTTTAAAGTGGGAGCATAACATATGCTAGGCGCTCTAGTCTTTTAAGAGACACGTGCTATCCTCTTTCATAGGATTTGTGGATAACATAGTTGCGCTCAGTTAAGAGACCGTGGGTTCCCAGCTATGGTATAAAATAAACAAATCTTCATGAAACGGACACTTGTTGTTTCCGCAAACGAAATTTGGAATATAAAATTCTAGGTAATTATAAGCTCCTGGTACCTGTATAACAATCACTGTATTCATACGCCAAGCTCGCCGTATTGCACGGACCATTTCTCGTACGCGACAAGACTGTGCGGCGACACCGACGGCCGAATTCGCTTCAACGCATCCATAAAGTCCTGGTACATTATGTTACGAACGAGCGAGAGATCCAGGCATTTAACTTCTTCTGGATCTAGTTCTGTAATTTTTTATAGAATTAAATTAATCATAACGTAAAGTCTGTGGGTAAGGTAGTAGTTGATGTTTTTCGGTTTGAGGGGGCGGCCCCCAAAAAGGAAAATTTCGAAACGAAAATGTATCAAATTATATGGTGTGACGTAACGCAGTTTATTTATTTGTATTCAATTTCTCTGACGAGATCGGTGACTGGGGGGAGGGCGGGGCGGGCGCAGCCGGCACGCGTTAGAGCGAGACAATCTATATACAGTCTGTGAGTAGGGATTGAATTACAATGAAGAAAATACGAATTAATATCAGAAAATATAAATGCATTAAACCTCTATATCGGTTTCCCAACGTCCCCGGGGGGCCAAACGTTTTTTTTTTTTAAGAAATAATAACAGAAAGGCATACTCAAACAGATTTGTATGTTCTCCCTTGAATCATTACACTTAAAAAACGATTATCATATTGCATTACGATCCAACGCAGCATCCCTACAGAGGGCAGTAAGATCGCTGCCCGAATATCCATCTGTTAGTGCAGAGAGTCTCGCCAGTTCATCCTCACTGATAGAAGCGGCCGCTGACCCACGGGAAAGCACGCGACGCAACAGAGCTCCACGCGTACGTGAATCCGGCAACGTAACGTACACGCGTTTGGGAAATCGTCTGTAAGTTCAAGTTTAAAGGTATATTACTATTAGACAATATAGACTTAGATATAGCTATTGCTTTAGATGTTATTCCATATAAAAAAAATAAATAAAAATGTGTTTATTCATTAAAATGTGTAAAATTTCGGAACCCTTTTAAGTAATAAATACCTGTGTCAGAGTTCCCAGCTCTTCCATAACAAACTTAGTCATGTCATAGTCATTCCATAACATTTGTGTGTTAGTGTGTTCATGAGTGAATGTGTGGGTGCATGCGAGTGAATTAGTGAGTGTAATGTGTGACATGTTTAGTCTAAGAAGCATCACCAACTCTGCGTAAGGTGTGTTAAGCCAGTATTTTAAGAGTTTTTTTAGATTGCGGACGGTGATCGGCTTGATATTAAACAGCCTACATCTTGCGTCTGGCGAAGTCAGTCCTTACTGTATGACCGAAGACAACATCGCTATATACACTTATTGTTTATATATACACTAGTGGACCCCACAGACGTTGTCCTGCATGATATTTCAACCGATTAAGATATTAAACAAAGTATGAAAGTACCGACTGCAGCGCCATCTGTCGGGCTGATTTGTGAATCTAAACCATTCCCAGATCCCCTTGAACACACACAAAAAATTTCATCAAAATTGGTCCAGTCGTTTAGGAGGAGTTCAGTCACATACACACGCACAGAAGAAATATATATATTAAGATATATGTAGTCGGTCCCAAATTCTGTCATAAATGGAAATAATATAAAAAAAAATACTGATCATTTTAATGAGTGATATATCAATTTTAGTACATTAATTAAGGAATAAAAACATAAAAATATTCGAAATAACCTCCTCATTTTAATAAGCTTTGGCCATCGTCTTACACGCACCATATTGTTCATTTTATGGTTTTATACTTAGTTCTTTAGGGTTTATCTTCCTCTTGCCCTTCATAATTTCTGCAAGATTAAGGGGCCGGGCTGGAGGAAGGCCAATCCTCATGTCTAATTAAGACGATGTTTTGACGCTCAAACCAGGCTTTAGTGGTCTTGGCTTTGTATGGCAGACGCAGAGTCCTGCTGGAACACGAAGTGATTCCCGCAAATAGGGTGCTGGACATGTCTTTGACAAGGCGATACAAAACCGTCTCTTGGTACACTGTAGCACTGGTTTTGACCCCCTTTTCGAAAAAAATTAACCTCAGTTAGCCCGTAATAGGACACTCCCAACCAAACCATTACTGATGATGGATGATGTCCATGTTGCACCCTTGGAACTTTATTTTCAGCTTCTTCAAAACTCCTAGGTACACTGTATAATTCTTTTTATTGTACTTCTCTTAATATCGAAAAATTTTTGTCGTAAAGAGGATATCACGGTGTCGGTTTTTGGTACCGCTTAAACAACACCCGCATCTCTTAAGCCTTATTGTTTTAGACGAGCATTAAGTAAGTGCCCACTTTTTTTTGTATGTGTAGACCAAGATTTCATTTAAAACCTTTTTACTGTTTTCCTACTGACACCCATCTGCAAATCCATCAACTTCTGTTTTGGACAGGATTTCTTACTATCGCGCCTTGATAGCTTTGATTACTGCTGGTTTTGGAGGTGGCAGCCAGTTCTTTTCTTGTCCTAAACTGAGACTTCAAGGTACCTATCAATAGTACCGTACACAAACCTAAGCGTTATACTAAATTTTTGAGAACTTGAAAATGTATGAGTTAAGGTGAACGCAATAACAACTATTGGTTTATCAATTCCACTCCATGTGAAAAATTACGAAAGTTATTGTTTTTTAAAACAATAATAAAATTCCAAAATAAATGAATAATTTTTTATAAATTAAAGTAGATAAGGAGGGTGTATTTGTAATGCCAAATCATTAAAAAAAATTGATATGATTATATATATAGATAGATAAATTGAATGGGATATTAAATAAGAATTCCCAGACCTTCCGAATATATAAATAATTGTCAATCGGTCAGTTCTGAAAGGGTTAGTAGAAGGTAGTGTGATTACAAACACTGGGACACAAGAATGTTAGATATGTTATCGTCCAGTAGTCGTCATTATTTTAAATATATCACTAGGTACTATTATGTCATAGTAACATGAAACACAATAATACCTCAAAGCAGCTTCATCCAACTCTTGAGGGCGATTAGTGGCGGCCATAACAATAAGTCTGTCTGCCCCCGCAGCAGGTAACCCATCAAACTCCACCAAGAACTCGGTTTTAAGTCTTCGTGACGCCTCATGCTCGCCCGTTGACCGCTCGCATAACAAGGAGTCCACTTCATCCACAAATATTATTGACGGCTATAACAATTAAGTTGCAGTGTTGGCATAATGATTTCAACGTGCGACTAATCCCTGAGGTCGTAGGTTCGATCCTCGGCTTTGCACCTATGGAACTTCTGTCTAATGTGCGCGTTGCAGTGGCTTGTATGGTAAAGGAAAACATCTTGAAGAAACCGGCAAGCCAAACAGCTAAAAAGTCGACGGTGTGTGTCGGCACGGCACAAAAGGTTGATCACCTACTTGCCTTTTAGAAAAAATCACCGAACAGAAACAGAAATCTGAAGCCAATAGCAAGGGTTCTAGCGCGACCGGTTTATTTTCAATTAAATTTAAATTACCAATACAGCTTTGAATGTCTTTCTTTAAGAAAACAAATAACAAACCATTTATATTAATCAAACTAGTGAACGGACAATAACTGACCTGCAGCTCCCTCGCGACTTGAAAGAGCGCTCGCACCATCTTCTCCCCGTCACCAACGTACTTGCTTGTAAGAGTGGCGGCAGATATTGAGAAGAACGTCGCTGAACACTCCGCCGCTACACACCTTGCTAATAAAGTCTTACCTGAAACATTTAAGGCACTTTTAAGAATTCAGTTGCATTTATTGAATCGTGATTTCTTAGCTTGGAAAGATATGAAGCCACCACTGATAAACCATAGACACACATTGCGAAGGGCTCGCAAGTGCGGTGCCAGTTTTTAAGAATTTGTACGCTCTTCTCTTGAAGGACCCTAAGTCGAATTGGTCCGGAAATACTTCAGTGGGCAACTTGTTCCACATAGTAGTGGTGCGAGAAAAATTGTCTTAAAAAACGGTCAGTTGTGGAAGGACGGACGTCGAGGTGATACGGATGGAATTTCGTAATCTGCCTCGACATCTGATGAAACTCAGCTGTAGGTATTTATCCGAACTACTCCCATAATAGCGGCTTATTGATGTGTTTTGTTGTTTCATTTATTTTTTTATAATTAGTTAGTCTCACATTTGAGAAGACTCGCGAGAGGACTGGCGTAGCCACTTCTCCAATAATATTCCTTATATCTATTTTCGGCTGTTGTCGAATGTTAAATGTGTGCATAGAAATTATATCTGTGCAGATGGGATTTGAATTGTTATGAAAAATACGTATTACCAGTTGGGTGGTTAAGCCTATTGCGACCTTATTAATTAATATTAATAGTTGGTTTAAAAATATATGTTGAAGAAACAAATGAATCTCACCATGCTTATTGCTTCATTACGTACTACATTAATTTTTATGTTTTCATTTTAAAATAAAAATATTTTACCATTTCCTGGTGGTCCGAATAGTAATAGCCCTTTAGCAGGAGACCGCAAACCCGTAAACAATTCTGGTCTTAAGGAGGGTAGCACCACCATTTCCTGTAACGCTTGCTTTGCTGCCTGAAAGTAACAAAAAAAACATGTGTGTACTTATGTACGCGTTAGAAGTTATACTTCTTTGGAGTAACAAGAAAAAAATCTTAAAAAAAAAATATCTTTAGCCTTATTGTACGTTTGTAGAAAAAACGACACTAACAGTAGAAAAAAGGTATTAAATACATTGACCGTTTTATTATAACGCATTATCTAGTTAAATAAAGTTTATTCAAATATCACAAAAAAATATTTCTACATAATTAAAGAACTATGCAAACTTCAGGGTGTCGGTTTTTTGAGACGGTGTTCGCACGCATCGTAAAAATTTACTCTCATCATGTTTCCCTAACGCGCCAAAAGAAGTACAACTTCAAAATATATTTAACAGAAACTCAAGTATAAGAAAACATTTTCACTTAAAAACGCGTTTATAATACTTGTTTTAATTATCCCACTACTATTAAACGGCGATCACGACAAAACCAATTTTCTATAATGCATTTTATTCATCAATAACAAGAGTTGTGATAAATAAACGAGTTCAAAGGGTATTATAATATTTAATATTGGAACATAAAAGCCATATTAAAAAATCTAAAGAATAAGGATTGAATAATTGGAAAACCTGGGGTGGGTTGGCTCCATAAATTAAAGGTAGACGTTATATGTATGTCGCAGCCTAATAGCTTCATTCACGTTCAATTAAGAGCAGAAGAGGTGGCAGAAAGTGCAACTAAATTTAAATGAACAGTCAACAGGCTAGGCAAGTAATTAAACATCATCGATGCAAGTATTTTGCCTAGCTGTTTAATCAACTGGCTGAGATTTCAGGCCGCTAGTAAAACGGCGCTGTTTAGTTAAGAGGATAGGCTGTGTATTGAACTGCTAATAAGCTAGTTGGCTGCGACATGTGTGGTTAAATATTTTTATTAAATATGTCTTTATTTTATGTGCTTTTCTTTTGGTTTTTTAATTCATTATTATTCCTCTGAAGTAGTTAGCGACTAAAGTTGAATTGTGGAGTGGCCCTTAAGGCCAAACCTGGTGGTTTTTTCTACTTAGTTTATTTATAACATTAAAGCATTAAAGTTTTTAAGGTTTAACTGATTCAAATTTGGATATATAAAATAAAACGAATCGTTAACTCCAACATATCAAACTAGGTACACTTTCTACTTATCTATACTAAAAAAACTTACATCCTGCCCAGCGATATCCTCCCAGTGTATCTTAGGTCCACCTTCAACAATTTCGTCCAGTATAAGTTGGACCAGCTTGGGATCAACACCTCGTACTGACAGCGTCGACTGCGGGGTTCGACTTCTAGTAGGCGTGCCTCGCTGCGAGCCGCCACTTACTGCTCTTCTTACTGGTGAACCGTTTGCCGGTACCTGATATGCGCCCTGATCGTGAGCGAATGGTATGATTGGTTAATGAATGATGATGCATGATATGAACAAGTCAGAAAAGATTTCATGAAATGGGTCGATGTTTATTGGTAATACAAATAAATATTAATTTTAGTGGACCTAAATGGGAGTTACAGAGCAGTGCTGGCCTTGTGGCTTTAACGTGCGACTCTCATTCTTGAGGTCGTAGGTTCGATCCCCGACTGTACACATGGCCTTCCTTTCTATGTGCGCATTTAACATTCGCTCGAACTCTGAAGGAAAACATCGTGACGAAACCGGCTTGCCTTAGACCCAAAAAGTCGACGGCGAGTGTCAGGCACAGGATGCCGATCACCTACATGCTTATTAGATTGACATATCATGAAACAGATTCATAAATCTGAGGCCCAGACCTAAAAAGATGTAGCGCCACCGATTAATTTATTTTTAGATGTGAGTAATTGTATAATACTTGGCGATTAAAAAGAGTGGCGGAAAGTTTCATGCCAGTTCTTCTTACCCGCTCTACGCCCTTGACTTGCGAGCTGGTAGTAAATGTAAATTTACAATTAATTTAACTTCTTTTTGACGATTCAAAAGTGTACTTGTTTACCTATATTTATAAAGATATTTTGAGTTTGAGTTTGAATAATGAAAGTGAACGATTTTTAAGTTGACAATACTGTTACGTCATTATAGTTCGACAGTCTTGAATATGTAAAAATTAAAAGCATATAATTTTTGTGAATAAATAAAATTGACGCATAGACAATAACAATTATACTGTCCGGATGCGACGCCACTTTGAGTCAGTGATGCCAACTCCTACAGAATGTTCCTCGTCATACCAACTACAAATATCGATTTAAAAAACCTAGTGTTTGTTCTATTGATTTGAGAGGTATTTTTAAAGATGCATCAAGAATTTTTATTATTTCAGTTATAGCCACGCTTATTATTTGGTTTAGTTTTTTGGTTGGGTTCTACGCTTAATATAAATTGTATAAAAAAGTGCTTTTAAAAAGTCTTGTAAAATACCCTCGAAAATCAACTAAATGTACAATCTGAAAACCCCAGGACATCTTGGTTCCCCCTAAATTGGGGGGAAAACCCCCAAGTTGGCATCACAGGTTATTCTTGCGGAAACAGTTCCGCACAGACTATACGAATAAATTTTTCTTGTTAAAAGTCGCAATATTTTTCGACTCAGTCTGGGCTTGAAACGCGACCTCATAATCTGCAGTCCAACATGTTACTAAACTATGCCACGCGGGCAATGCAATTGATTAATCAAATATATACTTCATTAGATAATTTGTTAACATATGCAAACATCTTGTTAATCATTACAAGGTTTTATAAATATGACTGGACTAATAATCTGTATATGTATTGATTGTATGTTGTACATGCTAAGTAAAAAGTTTTTCAGTAAGTCACAAAACTAGTTTTACAAGTTATCAGAACCTTCTTTTGTGGAAGTACGAAAGTAGTTTACGGAAAGCTTGTTAAGTTTTCCCGGAAATTAAGTCCAGGCGGTTCCATAAAAGCTTGTTGGGCGGGTATTTGACGTTTAATTTCTCATTACGTTCTCAAAGGAAAATTGGAATATTATTTATTGATTTTATAGGGCTGAATTGTATCCGCAAGATGTCAAGTACAGTAAACATCTGGCAACTAGAAAAAACTAGATCTATTAGGCAGTGAAACCCTTATAAGGTTCACATACCAGTCGGAGGCTGCGTTTTGCCATATCTAGTTTATTCTTATATTTAATCATATTTAATCTTTATTGTTAACTAACTGCCCCTGCGAACTTCGTTCCGCCTTTGTAAGTTTTGTGATTAAGGGTATATATATCGGGTCCGCTAGTCATATACTTCACCGATAAAATGTTATGTATAATATACTTACAGATAATTGTCGTTTGACAGCTGGCGGTGTGGATGCCGGCTTCATTGGATATCTACTGTAGCCACCGTTCGAGCTGTTCGGCTGCGATGATGACCTGCCCATCGATCGAGGTAGAGTTTGGGACTTCATCAGGGGCCCGCCCATTCCACTCTGTGTCCTTCTGCTGGCTGTTGTTAGCTTACGACCGGCAACTAAAAATAATATATTATATCAATTAGTTGACAGGATTTAATATTTTATTAACCGTTATATTTTACGGGGATAGTATCTGAAGAGCTTCATTTGCACGAAATTACGTGTATGAGTTTCGTCTCTTAGGTCGTGTCTTCGAATCACGGCTGTGCACTAATGGGTCTTTTTAAATCCGAATAAGCACTTGCTCCTACATGAAGGCAAACCTTGAGGAAAGCGGCGTCTCTCAAACCCGATGACATGTGTCAAACACAGAAAGCTGATCACCTACTGGTTTATAAAATAAAAGAGATCGAATAAACGGACGCAATCTAAAGCTAAGACCCAGATGTTGTAGCGCCACTTATTATAAATATTGGATTATGAAGATACACAAGAAAATAAAAGAATAGCTTAAACAGCTCGTGTATGTGGATTTCAATTTGCGGTATAGACTGTGAGACACTAATTAGTATTCAACATAAATGCATTCATACCAATACTATTTACTTTCCCTACACCCATTGTATCTTTATTTAAACTCTATAATATTCTAGTTTAGAAGTAATCTTTATTATGACTTGGAATAATGCCACCGTATCCTGCCTTTTTTTAAATAACGGGGCAGGGGGCTCACCTGATGTTCAGTCATACCTCCGACCTTTGCCAGAATGCTCGCAAGTGTCAGTCTTTTAAGAATTGATACGCTCTTTTCTTGAAGGAACCTTAGTCGAATCGGTTCGGAAATACTTCAGTGGGCTGCTGGTTCCACATACTAGTGGTGCGCGGAAAAATCTGCCTTAAAAACGCTGAGTTGTGGAATGACGTACGTCGAGGTAATGGTAATGCAGGTCCTGCATGGTTCGATGACCAAACAGACTAAAAATGTGCGTGCGTACAAAGTACACATGTCAGAAGTGAAACTTCTTTGTAAATTAATTATTACTAAGGTAAGAGCCCCAATAGATGATCACGTACCAGTATATGATCACTCTATGTATATCTATATTCACACTGTTTAGTTGTTTACACACTTTATACGTGCTAATGATAACATAATTAAATAAAAAATCTGCGTTTACTGCACGAGACGTTATGCGACAGAATTGCCTAAAGTTCTAATATGTAACTACTAAACGAATACATCAACCAATAGCGTGTATTTTTTCTCGATCTCCCGTACTCTCTACTCTCTCTCGTACTCTCTACTCTCGCTCCATGGCTATTTGCTTTATGCTAGGTTCGCCCTTTCTCACTCTTACTCAATCGGTCTCAATCGCTCTCTCCCTTTTCTTCGACAAAAACGCTGCACATCTTCGTGACGCTAAAATATTATTATTGCGTTTCATCCGTAAAAATTTTACCCTCATGCGCATAAAGAAGTTTCACTTCAAAAATATAATTATCTCCGATTTTAAAGGCACTTTTATTCTGTTACGACTTAGAAGGCTTTCTACAGCTTACAATTTACGATGTCAACATCTCTCTAATATTCTGCTGTATTACAAAATCGCTCCCATTTGCCATAATATTGAATGTAGTCGGATTTCGAAATAAGTAATTTAAAATTGAAAAAGGCAACAAATCTACCAACGAGATACAATAGAGGTATCGGTTCCACGCTTTAATTCTCGAGTCAAATTGATTAATTTTCAATAAATGTTTTGTTTGATTAAAAATAACTGTTTCTGTCAACTTAAATAAAAAATTAATAAGATCACTTAATAATCAGATTCATGTTCCATATCGAAACTATTAAAACATAAGGTCGTCCTTAACCCTCCAACTTGAGAAAACATATTAAATATATAGACATATACGGACGCGTAACATGCAAATAGGAGATCAAGCTTCTATGACAACCGGAAACCATTTCGCCAGAAGTTAACGCCACGTAAACCACAAAGCCACAGGCGGAGCGATTTTGAGCCAACTACAAGTCCCGAGAGCATTTTGGACCACCTATACAGCGTAGGTGTACTAATTGTCTCGTAACAAACCAGACTTTCGTACGATTACAAAACTGGGTCGTCAATTTATCGACATACTTATTAAATTTTATCAACACAAAGATAGAGAGAGTGACTATAAACGGTGAACTGTAGGTGTATCGTGAATAAAACGTAATCTTATACAATGAGTAGTTGGGTACCGATAGTAGAACGGTAGCTTGGGGATCGGTTTTGATTTCCGGTAGGACAGCAAATTATAATCTGTACCTCTGAGACCGTGAAGATCCGACTGGACATGTGAGAGACATGACTAGTGAAAATTCTGTTGCAATTGTACTGCAGTATAGAGGACACTATCACGAAGTATGTGACGAGACCAAGATAGATCAATAATCCGCGCAATGACTCTGTCGAATGCCTAAACCCTGAGGGTCCTTTAGAAAGGCTTGTCAGAGGTCATATTTAATTCAATTTTTTTCACAACAGTGATGTAGTGTCACCTAGGTCTGTGTCTAAGTGACACGGATTTAATATAGTTTTTGTCACCACATATATAATATTATATTTTAAGAACGATAACATTAAATCCATCAGTCCAATAAAAACAAAAAAACCACCTACTTGGTAAAATAACTTTAAGTTGAATAGAAAAACGAGTGCCAATCAAAGATACAAGACGTAGATATTCTAAAATATATTTTAAATATTTATGTTCTTGCAGAGTAGACACCAAATCAATCTAGAACGTGAAATAGGTACCTACCATCTTTTTAATCATATTTCAAATTTACAAGGGGTGGAAGTAGTAGATAGTAAGTAAAACCTCACTAAACCTCAGGCTTATAATATAACCCTTCTGAAAGAAACTCTTCAATAATAAGGCTCTGTCTGAGTACTTTGATCTACCCCTAGACACAAAGGAATGTATAACAGTTTAATATAAAACGGTAGTAAAGGTATTTCGCTTGTAAATAAACCTATATGAAAATTAATAAGTGTAATGTACACACAAGGTTTCACAGTTATTTTGCATTTAGATAATTGTACTGTCCTGGTAAAGTGTAATAATACACTTATAATAATCATGTGAGAATGACTGATTTATCATCACGTCTTCCCACGAATTGAATAGACACAACGGTTATTTGATTTCATAAATGTTTACTTAATTTAACTTACTTGTAACAAAATGTTGCAAATTATATCTCAGTTATATAAAATTAAACAAATAAGGACTTGAAGATAAAAAACCTTTAAAACCGTACAATATTTATATTAAAAAAGAAACATGACAGAGGCTTTCACGTCGCCCGCAATGAGTGCCTACTCCATTTCAAGGGAATGAGGCCGCGAGCTCAACATTCTTTGTTGGGCCTTTTTCAGAGATATTAGACGCTTTGTGTTACGTCATTCAAAGTATTCGTTTGTTCTCGCTTGTTTTGTCAATTTAATAAGAATTTAGTTTATATGAAAACAATGTTCTTCTAGATATAAATTGTGGACACTATTAGGCTAATGAACGAAGTTAATGGGCGTGGTAATTCCCTGGGCCTAGGTAAAATGCCTAGAGCAATACCTATACCACACTACCGAGACTTTTTTTATAATTTAAGAGTATAATATAATGACTAAAAGATTTTTTTAGTTAGTAATCTGGCTTTGTAGAAACAAAAAAAAACTTTAAACTTTACTAATTTAACTTAAAAAACTTTTTACTTTACTAAAAAAAAATATTAAAATAGATTTACAATACAAGTACTTTACAATACAATAAATTTAACTGTAAAGCTCTCACTCGTCGTGGTTTAATTTAAACTGAAGCTTAATTGGTGTCTAAAACTTCTCAGAATATTTAATAATTTATCATGGTTTGACGCAATGCAGTTAGAAAATAGATAAAACGATCAACGAATCTTGTGTGGTTAGTGAATAAATAAATTCTAGACACTACGAAACTGTTAATTGAAATTATCTTACATCAACTTAATTTTTTTTATAGAAAATTAAGTAAGCATAATAATAATACAGACAAGATTGTGATTCATAATATAGTAGCTTTCTCTTCTTGTAAGACTTACGGTTAGAAAATATTGAACAAAAGATATATTATATCTAAAAGCCTAAAAATATGTTTCTAAGCTTAAAACTATTGCGGTGGACAAATTCGGGTGTTTTATTTATTAATTCCTTGTTCTCTGAGATTGTATGGAGAGAAAAATTGGCGAATATAAAAAACATTGAAAATTTAGTTTTTTTAGATTTTTATTCCGAAAAATCGAACAGTTTCTATGGGGTGATATATCTTAATGTTCCATATGTTGGTATGTAGGTACTAAAACGGTATGCTAAGCAAAACCAATTATGTATATTAATTCGGATCGAAGTTGGCGGGGGCGGCTAATATATTTATTATAGTCTAAGAGAAAAAGCCAGTAGACCGTTTCAAATATCTCATTGTAATTTGTAAATAATAAAACGTAAATATTTAATTAATAACAAACAAGAACATAGGACGTCGAATAACTCATAAAAGCTCGCTTTTTACAACTTTGACATTGAGAAGAAATTTGATGCTGGCTTTAATTTCGTTTGTCTATAAAATAAGACAATTATATCGTTGCTAATCATACAAAAGCTGTTGGACACTCGGCACATCCGTGTTGTGGGTGACCAGATACTCTTCCATGATTCATATATACGTGGAACAATAGAAGACATTGTAATGTATAAATAATAAAATGTAAAATTAAGACTTTAAAACCAAACAATACTTATATACATATATGTTAAAGAAAAAACAAACTAAAAATTAAGATAGGTACTTTATATACCTTAGCTGCGTAAAAAATTTAAATATTATGAAATTTCGCAAAAAGGTGTCAGGTTAAGGTCAAAGTATAATTTATGTACACGCGAAAGTGAGAAAAGTAGGTCGTATTTACCTTAAACTTAAAGCTGAAAGATTAAACAAATACCTTGTAAAAAGGCACTGTAATTAAGATCATGTTACAACTGCAAATTAGCCGTTGCTATAATCGAAAATAAAACGGCAAGCCGGTTTCCTTCGATGTTTTCCTTCACAGTTCGATCGAATGTTAAATGCGCACATAGAAAGAAATTCCATTCGTCAACAGCCGGGGATTGAACCTACGACCTCAAGGATTAGAGTCGCACGCTGAAGCCACTTGGCCAACACTGCTCTAACGCCCGAACCCAATAATCAATCCACAGTCTCAGATTGAACACAATCTGAGATCAGACCGTGACAGTCGATCGATCTCCTATCTGCATCCCAATAACCAAACCCTACGAAGACAATCCATTTTTGGCGACGGATAAAATGCTTTTTGTCGTTCCATTTTACCGAGTTTTCACTCATATTTAATAATCAATGTAAACCAAATAAAGTAAATAAAATTGTACAAATAACATTAAAATATACATGTGTATGTTTAAAACATAACAAACAGTTTTCTTCTTATCTTCTTACGGATGATAGTCGAAAGAATGGAGTGCCCCTATTTACGACACTGCTCCGACATCTCCGCAGGGCTTTGTACCTGATAGTTTTTA